GTTTTTTTAAAAGTTTTTCTCCCCCCCCCCCCCCCCCTTGAGAATTATTTCTTGTAAACATCATGCATGGAGGTTTTCTAATGCAGCCTTCAAATGTATCGAAACCAATGATTTAGTGAACAACAGTAATTCAGTCAATTTTGGGATTTCTCCCTCTGGCTAAAAACCACTGACATGACCCAACAATGCTTATGTTCACCAACAGACACAGTTTGGTGTATAGTCCAGGACTGATTTTTGGGGTCGGACGCACTTTGGCACCCTTAGTTTGATACTAAAGCAAGGTCATGCTCGAGGGTCCAAGGAAGCTGATAGGCTCGTCTGAGAGGCGGCACCCGCTAGCGGCTAGCACATTATTTACCAAATAGTTATAGCCCATCAAGAGAAATAAATGGCTACGATGACCAAAACCACCTTCAAGCAGATTTGAAGTGCCCTATGAAATGGGTGGACAAATGGGGCATGAAATTTAACGAAACCAAATGCTACACAATGAGCATCTCAAGAAAAAAAAACATTTACCTTTTATTTGTACTCTCTAAACAAGACCATTCTCCAACAAGTATCAAATAATCCATACCTCGGAATTCTCTTCTCGAATAATCTAAAATGGTCACCCCATATAAACAAACACAATTTAAAAAAAAAAAAGCCAACTCCTCACTTTGTTTCATTCGAAGAAATCTGCGCCACTGCCCAAAATCCTGCAAACGAAATGCCTGTCTCGAACTCGACCGTCCGCTAATAGAATATGGACCTACTATAGGACAATTTACAATTGTGAGTCCCAGTGAGGCTATTGCCTGAGACGGTCACATAATTTTAGACCACTACAAGCGAAACCGTGTCTTTCAGTGTTCAGCAACCAATAAAAAGAACGGCATTAAAAAAAAAAACATTGAAAACTCGTTGAATCACATTTAATTGTATTACAAAAAGTCTTTTGGTCCACATTTCTTGGTCGCTTAGCCGCTGACCAAATTAGCAGAAATTATACTTTTTATTATATTTATCCCAATAATTTCAAGGGCTGAGGGAAATATGTACGATGAATGTAAAAAACAAATTTCCATTCATTTGGATCAATAAAAATGTCTTATCTTATCTTAATCATAAAATGACGAACGTTTCTCAAAAATTCAAAAACTTACCTCTAAATACTTTGATGATTTCTGTCTGAAGACAATTTTACGACTTGTTTTGTTTCCATTGACGTCGAATGGGCCCTGTAATTACTGCCTGTAATTTCTGCAACTGCATGGGCCCCGTAATCTTTGCGACTTCAGGGGTCTCGGATATTTAAGGGGCTCAAAGTTTAGAAATTGCCCCCCCCCCCCCCACACACACACACAATAATAATGATGTATATATATACCGGTATAATAAACTTTGAGCTCAGAGGGCATCAAAACGAAAAGTGGCGGATGGTCTCTAAAAATCACTTGCTAGACACACCGTAAATGATGTTTACATCTATAAGTTTAAGAAATGTGTACTGAAACGCATAATTCATGTAAGTCTACTTTTAAACTTTACTCATGGTTTTATGCATATAATTCCTGAACTGAGGGTTTCTCTTCAAATAACCTGTCGTGCCAGTCCACTAGCAAAATAATCGTTTTAAATTTTAGTATCAAGTTTCATCTCAATTTTATTACTCAGTGCAGGTTTTAATGAACTCGTTTGTTGTCTCTCTCAAGATTTGTAACCTGAACTTTTTCTGTCTCTCATCTCTCCTGTCGTCACACAACAGGCGCTCAAAAGCCACCCTTTGATGATAACCATCAGAGGAAAAATGTTCGCTGTGTGTTATTTTCCTTACTTCTTTCACCTCTCATATATACATATATACATATATATATACATATATATATAATTTTTTTTCCCCTTTTCTTTTTGGTACTAATATTTAGACATCTTTCAACATCTAATCACTTTATCTGGGTCGAGAGGCTCCTAAAAGGCGTGAGGCCCGTAGACGCGTGCCTCCTTTGCTTGTAAGTTAATCCGCACTGCTGGTTAGTCGACATAGAGATATCCATGACCCATGACCTCAAAGTTAGATACGATCTTATAGCACGACCCAAAGCTTATCCGTGGTAGTTGGTTATTTCATTGCCAGGGACAAAATTACTGGAAATTGTCGAGTTTTCCTTTTGAACCTTGATGCATTTTTAAATTTTCGCATTGATGCAAGTTTGTTGCAGACTTTTTTGACAACGTGTTCTCTTCGATAGTTCCATCTTTAATTCTCACAGAGAACATTCGTACATAGACGACAATACACACACTCCCCCCCCCCCCACCCCTTATTCAAATATTCCAATGGAATTGAATCGCATTTTTATTAAGACTTGGAATGTAAAGAATTGCGTTGTTAAAGACAAAGCTTAACAAATGTACAATTATTCCAATCAATAATATTGTTATTTTAATCAAGAAAATGTTAATCCATTTCCTTCCTGATTTGAGGCAATTCATAAATTATTTAAAAACTAAAAAAACAAGAGGGGGGGGGGGCGTGGGAAGTTAATTTATGAGATTATGCGGAGCGGGGGTCTCGGCAGAATTTTTACGTACATTTATACACACAGTCTGCAAGAATTATTCTGATATGTACATGACATTATTCTGATATTAACAGTACACGAATAGCTTATTTATATCTCAAATAATGCCACCTTCCACCAAAACATGTGTGAGATCTACAATAGCCCTTGACCTGTGCTGCGGGCGCCCATGCTTTACAACTTACAATTTATAATAAAAAGCTTGTAGGTAATTCTGTATGGTCCAGTTCCGGTGGATACGGCAGAGGTCAGAGGTCAATTGGGAAGTCGAAGTGAGTGTTGTGACACCATGAGTTTATAGTATAGCACTAGGTGACATCAATTATAATGACGCTCCTGCAATACGTTATACAAGTCAATACTAAGCACCGGTGATGGATGCCAAACATCCGTAATTTTCAGACAGTCCGTAAAATTATGACATAAAAAAAAAATAGCGTGGGTGCCGTCTAAAATCTCAGACACCTCCCACCCCCACCTTGAACCTAAAAAAAAAAATAAAAAAAATAATTAAAATTCAATATAAAATACAATTCAGTATTAAACTATTAATACATCCATCACAACAGAAGTTAAATATCACTGTGAATGTCAGGTTTTATATGTATGATAAAATATGTGATGTCACATAAGATTTGTACAACACCCCAGTGAAAAAAAAAATTAAATTGTTCCTAAGATCTAGTCTTCTTAAAAGTGTCCGTAAAAAAAAAATTAAATTGTTCCTAAGATCTAGTCTTCTTAAAAGTGTCCGTAAAAAAATAATTAAATTGTTCCTAAGATCTAGTCTTCTTAAAAGTGTCCGTAAAAAAAAAATTAAATTGTTCCTAAGATCTAGTCTTCTTAAAAGTGTCCGTAAAAAAAAAATTAAATTGTTCCTAGGATCTAGTCTTCTTAAAAGTGTCCGTAAAAAACAAATTAAATTGTTCCTAAGATCTAGTCTTCTTAAAAGTGTCCGTAAAAAAAAAAAATTAAATTGTTCCTAAAATCTAGTCTTCTTAAAAGTGTCCGTAAAAAAAAAATGTGTCCTTAAAAATTTTGAAGCTTTAAAATGTTGGTCCGAAAATTTTCATTTATTGAGTTTCCAACCTTGGCACCGGTGCTGTCTCTAAATAGCAGAGCGCGTATAAGGAATGAGCACTAATATAAAAAAAATCCTTAGGCCTATGCTTTTCTGATCGTACAATCTATCCAAAGGGAGACGTACAGTTTCAAAGATTGCCTAAAAGTTCTAACTAAAAGTATTCCCTCAAATTTATGGACACTGGCCTGACTTTATTGGAAAAAAAAATTGCTTTGGATTGCGCAACCTGGCGAGGCAGACTCTTTGTCGGAGCACACGTATCATAAATTAAACTTGGGCTACCACTCAAGCCCAAATACAATAAAATGCAAGGAAAAGAAAAATTACCCCCTTAGGCCCACTTACAAGGACCCCAAAGCACATGTGTCTTTTAACCGGATGAGCTTTCCAGACACATTTGGCAGTGGTGGACCAGAGTGTCCAAAAATACCGGAACAACATATTTAAGATTTCATGCAGAAGCTACCCAAAAATCGTGAGCCCTGGCGGCCTACCGGCAATTTCCGGCTGCCCAGTCAATCCCTGGAAGCCATCCAGCGGAATAGCCATGGTTAGTGACACACAAGGCGGGCAAAGATTTTTGCCACCCCCCTCTTCAACTGCAGGTTTCCGAAGAATATAATATAAAGGGAAAAAAAGTGTCCCGGGGGTGTACCGCCCCTTCTTTCTACGCCAATGCATCCACCGCCCAATATAGCCATGGTCATCTTCGCATGCGAATGATGATCAGTATATGTGATCTCCTTCATGAACCCAAATATTTAATTTGGGGGCGTCCATTAATTACGTCAACAATTCAAACTTTCAATGACCCCCCCCCCACATTATGTCTACATTTCTACCCCCCCCCCAATTAAAAAAATGAATTATAATATAAATAAAAATATAAATATATTTTACTTTGTGCTGATCTATTAATAACACAAAAGTGTAGGAATTTTTTTTATTGCATCTTTAGCTTGGTAATCAAAAAGTTAAAATTGTATATTCTAATTAAAAATTATATAATTATTTTAAATTACACTCATTAAATTTGTTAAAATAATGTAAAACCAGCCACTTTTTTAAGATAAAATTTTAATAGAGAAAACATGATTGTTGACGTCAACTAATCTACCCCCCCCACTTCCCCTTTGCAAAATTGTCAAACATTTCCACCCCTCCCCCCTATTTTGTTGACATAATGAATGGACGACCCCTTTGTAGGTACCTCATTTGACTGGGGGGATCTGAATGAATGCCTCTAAGTCAGGGACCCCCACGGCCGAGGCGACTTGGTGGTGTCGCATGGGGTTTGCCTCTTCGTGGTGTGCCAGACTAGTAGGGAGGCTTTGTTCTCCCGAAGCCAAAAAACCCGCCCACTTGCATGACTCCCAACGCAACGGGAGGAACGCAATAACATGATTACTTGTTGCCGTTAATGGATATGAGGTCTGGGTGGCGGTTAAAACCTATACCGATGATTTTAGCTGCGTGGCCCTGAGAAAGCCGCTCCTAGGCGACCGTTTCGTCCCAGCTTACGTCCCGACCGAAAGACTCCCTGGACGGTGGGGGTGGTAACGCAACACCTTTCCCCCAGAGTGGAAGCAAAGCCGTCCTGACCCACGGAGAGTGGACCGCGAACGCTTTAAACGCAGCGTTTTCGGTCGACCGGACGTCCCCCCAGGCCATGGGGAGGGAAGATCTGGCGTCTGGCCCATGTGGAGGTGTGCGGGGTGGGGTTGGGTGTGGGGTATTAAGAGCTCGCGCTCTTCGACGCCATCTTCAATGTGACGTTTTTATTAGCTCAGAGTTATTGACTCAGGTTTACCGACTATTACTGTAGGACAGGAGTTCTTAACTCGATCCATTTATTTGCACTTTTATTTTAATATGCATTAAAAAAAATCTAAGAAGAGATCCGTTGCCCTAAATATCAAGGGGTCCATAACAAAATAAGATAAGAGCCCTTGCCTTAGATTGGAATGCTAACACTAACAAATTTTTTGTCTTTTTGGCTTTTCGATGTGTTTTGAGTTTAAGTTGATGTGTCAATCTTGTGCAAAAAAAAAAGTAACCGGGGAAAACTGATGTTTTATTGAAAGATGTATTAAATGTTATTTATTTATTTATTTATTTATTTAGGCATTTTTATATAGCGCTTATCATAAAGCTCTAAGCGCTTTACAGTTATTAAAACATGTAAACTAAGTAAATACAAATGAGACACTAGGATAGTAACTACTATTCTATAGAAACAATGAAAATGGCTATAAAAAGAGGACACTTTGACACTTCAGGATTAAACCGAAACAGAAAATTAGGTAGGGCAAGGAGGGTGCATCACAGGTCATAGGCGGACCTAAACAGATGAGTTTTAAGGGACTTTTTGAAAATGGACGAGGTTTCACTATGACGTATATGGAAGGGGAGCTGGTTCCAGAACGTGGGCCCATGGAAGCAGAAGGAGCGTTCACCGATGGTCTTAGTTTTAGTTCTTGGGATTGAGAGGGTTCTACTGTCAATGGAAGAACGTAGTTGTCTTGTGGGGATGTTAGGAAGCAACAGTTCAGAGAGATAGACAGGAAAGTGAGGGTCAGTGAACGAGTTGAAGCAAAGATTGGAAGACTTGTATTTGATGCGAGAGGATATTGGAAGCCAGTGGAGTTGCCGCATGTGTGGTTGAATGTGGTCATGTTTCTTTAATTTAAAAATGAGTCTGCATGCTGAGTTCTGTGCCTTCTGAAGTTTGTCTATGTGGTGTTGAGGAATGCCTGAGAGAAGAATGTTACAGTAGTCAAATTTTGAAAGAATGAGTGAAGAGACGAGAGTTTTTGTGGCATCAAAGGAGAGGAGGTGTCTAATGGTGCTGATTTTTCTAATTTCGTTATATGCTGATCTGCATATATTCGTGACATGTTTGTCCATGGAGAGGGTGTCCGTAAGCGTGACTCCAAGGTTTCTGGCAGAGGGAGAGAGTGTGATGTCAGAGTTGCCAATAGATATAGAAGAAGGAGCGAATGGAGGGAGAGGTTTGTTTTGAGAGTGGATGAGAAGGATTTCCGTTTTATCATCATTTAGCTTCAGTTTGTTGCAAGTCATCCAACGCTTTACATCGTCCACGCACTCCTGTATGCGAAGGATTGTGGCATCAAGTTGATCAGGAAAGCAAGAGTCACTGATTTGAGTGTCATCAGCAAAGGATTGACTGGAAACTGAGTGGTGGCTAATGAGAGATGATAGAGGTTTAGTGTAGAGGATGAAAAGGACCGGCCCAAGGACCGATCCTTGAGGAACTCCAATAGACAGGGCTGAAGGTTTGGAAGAGCGGTTGGAAATATAAACTTTTTGAGTTCTGTCAGAAAGATATGATTGAAACCAGTTTAAAGCTGAGCCAGTAAGTCCGAAAGAAAGATGAAGGCGGTCAAGAAGAATCTGGTGGTCAATGGTATCAAATGCAGCAGAGAGATCTAACAGAGTGAGAATAGAGAGTTTGCCATCGTCCATCGCGCGCAGGAGGTCACTCATGACTCGGACCAGTGCTGTTTCTGTGCTATGACCAAGTCGGTAGGCGGACTGAGAGGAAGGATAGAGATTGCGAGAATGAAGATAGCCAGAGAGCTGAGAGAGTATGAGTTTTTCTATGATTTTTGAGAGAAAGGAGAGGTTGCTGACGGGGCGGTAATTCTGGATGATTGTTGAAATTTATAGAGATATAATAATAAAAAGCAAATTAAATAGAAAAGAGGGGGACTTATAAATCGTTAGCGCAATTTTACAAAAATAGTTGCTCCTTTACTTGTATAGGCTGAATTCGTCATTTCCTTCACAAAAAAGCCTCTTTGGCCTTTGGCTGAGAAAATACAAATGAAAATATTGTTTAAAAATAAAGAATAAAACCGTTATTTTTAGTTCATATAACAATCTCAGAAAAATGAAATAAATAAAAATTGAAGAACCTGAGCTATCTAATACTAATGCCGTACATAAAGCATTAGTTGAAAAAAGGACTTCTAAATTCAGAGATTATTTTTCGGTTCATCATAAAGTAAACCATATGACCTGAAATTATTAAAATAGCTGGCAAAACTGGCTGCATCTTGTTTGTTAAGTGAACTCAAAGAAGCGAAACTGGTTGGGAGGCATTAACCTATATTTCGTGTCTTTCATTTTTTTAAATTTTATTTTAACAGTCTGTGTAAGAGATTTAAAGAAAATGACTCGTAAGTTTGCCTATGGATATATATATCTATATATATATATATATATATTAATTTCGTATTTTAAATGTTAATTATTGGTCTAAGTATTTTACTGCTTTATAGAACTAATTGGGAGTCATTAATATATATTTCGTGTCTTTCATTTTTTTAAATTTTATTTTAACAGTCTGTGTAAGAGATATAAAGAAAATGACTCGTAAGTTTGCCTATGTATATATATATATATATATATATATATATATATATTAATTTCGTATTTTAAATGTTAATTATTGGCCTAAGTATTTTACTGCTTTATAGAACTAGAACTAACCAATAATAATAATATACTACTAAAAGTCAGTTAAGTCAGTCGTCACCCAGTGTCACTACTAATCACTGCTACTACTACTTCTAACTGACTGACTTTACTTTAACTATGCATAGGCTTAAACTTAGATTAAGTCCTAAGTAAGGTTAGGCGCTTTGGCTGTCCCCTTTATTTATATTTATTAATTTAATTTAATAATAATTAGTAATTAGGCAAAAAAAATGATACTCGAGACTTAAAGACACTTAATAATAAGTAAGCTTAGGCTTAAGACTTAACTTACTTAAGCCCTTAACTTTAACTTAATTATAACTTAATGAAGGCTTTTAAGTGATGTTTAAGTTTCTTTAAGTAAAACAAAAACTTGGTCATATCAGCATATGGCTTATGTTAGTTTTTATTTTTCCATACAACTTTAACGACAATGATCATTAGCTGGAGCAATTTAACACTGAATCAGTGATTAATATATTTGCAGAGGAGTATGGCCATACAGGCTTTTGTACAGATTTTCACTAGTACTAGGTTTAGAAAAAAAATAATTTTGCACTAGACACAAGTTCAAAACTGGTGATGCAATTTAATACAAATTGCAAACGGAGCTTAAATTTAGTTAAATCCTATTTGTCTGTTAAAAAAAAACAAGTTGAGGATCAGTATGCTGTCTAAATATACGAAAAAGGGGAAAATAAATTTATTCAGCTGTTTGGCACCATATCTCCATATGGTATTAATCAAATAACATCCTTCTGATGTTTCTCTGTTTCCCTATATTTCATCTATTTTATTATTGCTGTGTGTTGATCTATCCCTGGATATTCTGGTCCATTATTATTGTGGGCTTCATTTTTCACAGTCTCAATATTTATATTCTCTCGCTTCCTGTGTTCCCACTTCCGGCGACACGAATGGATACTTCTTGAGTTGTCTACTGTGCTCTATTCTTTGTAATATTTTTATTTCTACTGTTGGCTGAGGAAGGCTTTATGCCGAAACATCCTTGTTTTTTGTCCTGTTATCTTATTCAAGCTTCACACATACCTCGTTTTGCTATTTTATTAATCTAAATTCAGAAACGGCACAGTGTCATTGATATCATTCGTTAACACTAAGAAAGCGTAGTATTGCTGTAGTGTAGTAGTAAAATCTGTGTGATTCTAAACAAAAATTGCAGTGTTGTGTTTAATTTCAATTTAATTTATATTAAATAATAGCATTAGTCATTATTCCTATTTATATCATAATGGCATGGCTTAATCCCTCTGGTACAGTGAAAAATATGAAGGTAACCTCAACAACTTTATTTTGACGGACAAACTTTATTTTACTTTGTTAGTTTAAATACAGGAATCTGTATTACTACAGCTAGCATAATTAACAGAATAATTATGTCAAATTATATCTAAATTGCTATTAAGTTCATCATCTGTCCATTTATTAGTATAATTGCTATTGACCAATGTGACAAAACTAAAAACTTGACAAATAACTTTTTAAATCATGCATTCAAAACATCAATGAAAAAGGTGTAAATTTTACTTTTTTCGACTTCATTTCTATTGTTCAGATTTTCATGCTGCTACTATAGAGTTTTTTGGGACTATTTTTACAGTTTTTTAAAGGGCAGGATAGCATGTGTGGACTACATATTGGACTTAATGTCATAAATTTATATACTTAACCAAAGATAGTGTCAAACTCCTGATATTTTATTAGTACCATATTAACAATTTGACATTAAAATATGAGTTCTTACAAATTTTGTAGATTAAACATATTTTCTGTAAATATTATTTTATAGAGTTGGCAAAGCTGGCTTAAAGACTCAACCTGCAAATGAACAAACTCAATATATGAGTGAAGTCAATGTTATTGTTATTGGACATTTTTAAAAAATGTACAGTAATTTACAGAATGCTTGGACAAGTGGGCAGTTTTCCCACTATTGTTGGTGTTACTTATTTGCAGTAAACTCATGTGCAACCCCCTTTAGGTACTTCCCCATGGACCTTCTCAGAGTCTGCTTTCTCTAGTGACACACAGCTTTGGTGGCATCCTGATCAGGTGACACCCTGCTCTTGTATTTATCTATGATCGTTTATGAAACAGTGTAGAGGGAAATATCTTATTTTTTTTTTTTTCCCCATCAGGATGACACCCCATATTGACAAGAGGGTTTGCTATTGTTGGTGCTTTTACATTAAAAAAAAATATAGTTCATTTCATTATCTTTCGGAAAATCTGATGTTTTTTTCATAATGGTCATTTGAAGATGAGTTCTAATAAACATTTGAAGTTGAAACCTTAAGAAACTGATTTAAATTTGTTTTTTCCTCAAAGTAATATCCTCAACAGGCTTACAAATATTATTTTGAAATCTATCCCTGATTTATTATAACCAAGTATTATGTAAAGCAATGAATAAAAAATGATTACCATAAGGGACAAAACTAATTAATGTTGAATTAAGTAACTGATGGGATTTTAAACACTATAAGGTAGAACTTAGAAAATGTATGTATATTTTTCGGCATACATTAAAAAATGCAATGAAGTAGCATAACAGAAGCAAACACAGTAAGCATTCATGTTGAATTGTCAATAGATTTTTTAAAAAGTTACTCCAATTTACATTCAACTTCAAAAATAGCATTGCAAGAGATTATTCATATAGTGGAGCAAACATTATTTTTAATTCCAAAATTAAAATCAACTAATATCATATAAATATATTTAATATAAAACGAATGCAACTTTGAAAAAAATGTTATATTTTATTAAATTAAATTTTTTTTTAATTAGACATAGTTATATTTAAAAAAATTAATTAACTGATTTATTGTTTATAATAGGGTTGTACCTATTATCAAATTATAGTTAATTGGCAATTTTGCAGATAAATCGCCAATCTGCTTTTTTTTTTGTGACCAATAGGCTTCCTGGCTTACACTTACAAATAAATCCCCTAGAAGCTAGATCATTTTAATAGAATATTGAAAGCTTATTATTGGATTTTTGTGAACTTTTTATCAAATTAGGTGTGTACACGAATTTTAACTTCCCTCCCTCCTCTTGCTGCATGCAGGCATGTAGAGTGGCATGGAAAAGATGCATATATTTATATCCTTTATGAACAACCCCTACAGCAACCTAAAGTTGAATTTAATCCTTAATGTATATATTTAAAAAATGTTCTATCTTAATGATTTGCTCTTGTTCCAGGTGGGAATCAGCGTGAAAAGGCTAGAGAGAAAGCCATGAAAAAGCAAAAAGAATTGGAAAAGAAAAAGCATTCTAGTTTGAAAGATGGAAACAAAGGCATGTCCCTTGAAGAACGGCGGCAACGGTACAATAAAATAAAAAATATGCCTTTTTAAATTTTTTTATTAAAGATGTTTTCAGTTAGCATTAAATTTTTTACAAAATCTGATAAGGGGTCATACATATATATGTACACACTGAGTGGGGTTGTGGTTTTGGAGATTTTTCATATGTATACATATTTTTCCACGTCAGAATGTAATTACATTTATTAATAAATTCTGCAATTCAGAAGTCCCTTATATAAATAACCTATTTTAAATTTATAGGTCTATTTCAAATATAGCCAACTGTTGCCTACAATCTGTGAAATCCATGGTTTCTAATTATTTTCAAAGGTTAACACAAATCACCACAATGTTTTGTATTTATCTTCATTCTGTTGCTTTGTGTTTTCAGAAATAAGACACTAGATATCACAAATGTAATAACTAATATTTAGCTTAGTGAAAACTATCGTCCATCGAACATGGTTAAGTGTGTGATGTAATTTCTGACATAATCATTTGCTTGGCTGAACCCAACCATTGCGGTAGCAAAACAAAAGGGGGTGGCCCCCCAAGCCCCCATTCAAAGAACTAAAAAAGAGGTCCCCATGCTGCCATTAAGTTAAAAAGATTAAATAACAATTTTTCTGAATTCAGTCAACATTGTACGATAAAACTTAAAATAATGAAAAATAAATTTGTATCCCCCCCCTCCCCCCGTTTTGAAACTTATTAAGTCATTCCTATTAGAGAGAGTAAGTGTCCCACCATAATCTTCAAATTAGGGTTCTGTTCAAATATAAACTTTGTTGGCCTTTATTTTTAATTTTTTGTGTGGTTATATATCCCCAATCTGTACGAATTTACTGGCGTGCTCCCTCTGAAGTTACATCTTAAACTTAATGAGAACTAATAAGTCCCCGATTTGGCTAAGAGAACTCACTGAATGGCTGTTTGAAATAATTTATTATAAATGTCTTGTGTTCAAATAGTTTTATTTATGTGCTGAAAATGTATAATGCAATCAAAAAACATTTCCATTTATTTGGATCAATAAAAGAATCTTATCTTATATAATTAAAAAAATAAATAAAAACAGTATAAAAAACTAAATAGGTAAAAGGTACCTAGTAATATTAGTTTTTATGACTGTTTTTTTAAATGTTCTTATATATTTTTCATTTACAACCAATAGAATTTAATTAAAGATATTGAGAAAAATCTATTTTCAAAATAGTTACACCTTTTCAGTCCTTTTCCTGTGCAAAGGATTTGTATTAGGTCATATAAAACAATTTAAACATTCAAATGTTTGTGTATGTAGCTTTTTACTTTTTTAAAAATTGATTTTACTTTTGTCCATCTGCTTGTGCTCCCTCGATCATGCTGTAGTAGCATTTCTTTTATGATTTAAAAATATACTTTTGTTTTGTAAGCTTTTCACCAAGACTTTGGATTATCATAGCCTAAATTTCAAACTAACTTTTGTAAGCATTTTCCCCTATAATCATGTTCATATTAATTTTCCATTTTGTATTTTAAATACTGTTTAATTATAACCAAATCAGTGCAAGATAGATCTGTGAACTACCAATCTGCTTATTGCAATATCTACCAAGTCCAGCTGTTATAATAAAGCTGTTATAATAAAGCTAAAGAAATGTAAACATTCTTTAAGAAAGTCAAATAACTGATGCAGCTGATTGGGGCTATATGGCCAATCAATGTAAGAATTATTTGCACACACTCCTGGTGTGAATAAATCTGGTTGGGCTTTATGTAATTAATGCACCTTTAATATCTATATCTCACTAGTGTTTAGAAAATTAAAGTCATTTTAAAATTACAAAAGTTGAAGCTCCTTATTCTTTAAACCCCTTATTATCAAGATTTTTCAAAGGTTTTAATTTCATCCCTCAGTTTATCCAAATATCTCCCGTTTGTCTTTGCTATTTTCTAATGTTATGTACTGTATAATTTTTTTATCTAGAGATTTGCTTTTGATTAGAATAGATCAAAATCATTTTACATTAATCAGCAAGTGTGATTTATTGTTTCAGTGATGCAGAAATAATGCGACAGAAGCAAGATAAGAAACTTTCTGATGCTGGGTCTAGTGCAAGTGGAGATGCTGGTTCTAGTGCAGGTGAAGGGGCTACAGGTGGTGCATCAAAATAGCTGGAGCTGGAACTCATGGCTGATAGTTAAATTTCACAATCTGCATTACAAAGTGTATCGCCAACCAGTTTCTCAATTTCTAATGTAATGTGTTTGGAGGATTAGTGAAAAAAAACAACACTCTTTATCTATCAGGGACAAAATATGTTATTAGTTTTCAGATTTGTAATGTCCTTGTTCATTCTGGTCCTGTTTTTAAACAAAAAGCCATTCTGTGTATATATGTATATGTTCATTAACAACATGTTCCTTTTGGGAAACTACATTTCAATTTCATCCTAAATAATCATGTAATTTATGTGAAGGTCTAAGTTTATGTAACAGTAAAGAACTATATAATGGAACTTTAAACATTTTCTAACTAGCAGCATGATCCTTAAATTCTTCTTTAGCAACTAACCAATTTCTTGGATTTTTTTAAACTTTCTTTAGAAATGAAAGACTTGATTTAAGAACTGTGAAATTTTTAAGTCCTGGTACATGTATTTTATATAAATTTCTCACTTGTACAAGTCCAGCACTTTAAAAAATCAATAGTTCTTTCAGTTATTGTTTGAGAAACTGAAGCAAAATTGTTTCATTTTGAATATGTTATCAAATTGTCAGCATTTCAGCTTTTATTGAAGAGATCTTTTAAAACTACTTTTCACTCATAGTAGGCATTTCTCCATGTGCTAAGGGAAACTTGACATAAACTTGTACAAACACATCTTGTATTATACAATAATAGAGAATGATCATTAGAGGGACTGCTGTCTTCATTTCTTTTCCTGCTAAGACAGTATTTAACTCTTACTTAATCACATGCATGTCTAATTATTAAAAACTATTAAAATAATTTTGTTTTGAGTTGTTTTTAACAAGTTGTCTAAAAATTAAGTGAATTGTAGTGATTATCTCCTTGTAAAAAATTTGCTTTGTCTCTATACTGACATTGTATTGTGTACCTGTACTGTACTGACTTTTCCCCCCATTTTTTAAATTTGATCACATATTGGTTTTGAGACATTTCAAAATAATACATTTATAAAATGGAAGATCAACATCATTCAGCACAAGCTATACAAGAAAAAAGGTTAAACTTAAGTTTTCACAACATTTAAAAAAAAAAAGGAGTTACTCATTAGTACTAGCATAGAATTTATTTGTATTTCAGAAGTACAATGAGGACAAAAGGATATGTAATTGCTTAAGGCTTTGTTATATTTTAAACCTGAATCAAAATATCTACATTTACATATCAATTACATAAAGTAAACAATAAGACTGTCCTTATGGTACCTTTCTAGTCTAAATTCAGATCATTCATAAAAGAAGATGTTGCAGATTACAAATACTAATTATTTTATCAGTAAGCAGTGTTAAATTTTTTTTTAAAAACTCTATCATGGTACTAAACTATCCGTTAATTATATATATGAATAACAAAGCCATTTTTAAAGAATGATAGTGATAGATACATTGCAAGTGCAAGCTTAAATTGATGTACGATTTAATGAATAATGATTGTATAACAGTATTGAAGAAATGGATAGACAGTGCATAGTGCTGTACTATTCTAAAAGTTTTTTATATTGTATTTAGTGAACCAAGTTTGACAGAAAACTTACAATAGCATGTGGTTATTGTAATCATTGAATCTTATAATCAAAGAGTCTTTAAGAAGAGATAGTGAAACAAGATGGACTTATGAAAGAAGAAGTTCTATCTAACTAAAGAGTTTTCCAATTCCAGTGGCACTTTTGTCTCTTTTTCTGTGATATTTTTAAGTTATAGACTTGCTATCCTTAAGCAGCTGTTCACACTTTATCAATCAAAGTAAAAAAAAACCAACAACTGATGATGTTAATGATAAAACTGAAAGATGGTGTAAAATATTTCAGGGTTCCCCAAGATGTGCTGCCTGGTTATTATAATGCTAAAAACTAAAGAAAATTATAGTACAGATCCTTTTCCTTGGACAAATCTATCAACTGCAAACTATGTAAATTGCTAGTTAAATCTGCACAACTAGGGTAGTTTCTTCAATTCAAATGTTTGTTTCATTTTCAGTAGTATCAATAATACCGTATTAAAGTCTATTATAATAAATAAAAGTATATTTTTGTTACTTAAAGTACTAAGTAAATTTTATTTTAAAAAAAAAAAAAAAAAAAATAAAAAAATAAAAAAAATTATAAAAAAAAAAAAAAAAAAAAAAAAAAAAAAAAAAAAAAAAAAAAAAAATATAATAAAAAAAAATAAAAAAAAAAAAAAAAAAAAAAAAAAAAAAAAAAAATATATTTTTGTTACTTAAAGTACTAAGTAAATTTTATTTTAAAAAAAAAAAAAAAAAAAGTGCAGAAATGAGAACAATTATATGAAGCCCACTGCAGAAATAAGGTGCATCACAGCAAGTAAATGATAGGGTAATCAAGTAAATTCTGAACAAAATGTAAATACAAAATGTGGCAAATTACTTGCATTTTCTAGTAAAAAAGAATTATACAACAAGGAAATCAAGAATCTGGTAAATAGGATTCTTCTGTAGAATATTCTTAAAAATATGACATTGCACAGGTAAACAAAAGAAATGAATTTATTAAAATTTCTATATACAAGCGAACTATTTTCTACATACAGTACAATATAAAGACTTTCAGTTAGGATTTGTCACAGAGGTACTCTAAGAGACATCACATTAGAAGTTAGGCATTTTTCTTTCTCTCTTAAGCAAATGCTGTCAAGTCATCAGAATGCATCCACAATACTTAGATTATTATCTAATGACCAACACAAAATACTGAATTCACCAAATTCAATGAACAATCTTGGTTGAAAATATACCTTGTGATAACACTTTTTCTTAAAAAAAAACAGCAAACATAAATATCAAGCATTGTACTAAGTTTCAACTTAATGACATATAACACCAAAATAGCATTAGGCTCATTTGCACACACATTTTAAAGCAATACAAAAACTACTAAAAATTCCAATGCTTGTAAAATGAAATAGCAATCAATTTCTTAAATATTGAAAAGCTAAATTTTATCCCAAAACTATGAAAAGTAATTTACAACCATAACTGTATAAAATTAAAAAGGTGTGGTACAAATAAAATATATTTAGCTGTAAAAAAGCTATACATTTGTTCAAGAAAACATGTACCAGCAACATCAAAACTTATTTTAACGGCTCACCACTAAAAGATAAGTTTCACCTTTCACAAGGCTCTAAATAAACTCCCTTATTAAGAATTTTTGATCTAAATGGATAGTTATGGTTGGTTGATAATATAATAAACATTTATATTTTCCAAAAATAAAATAATGCAAAAATTGTAACCTATTAAAATTTTTACCAGCTGATGTTTCAATGATTGTGAGTGATCTCTTCGGCAGAAAAACTTTTTTTTTTTGATTGACAGGAACTGTTTTAACTGCTTTATTTAAATATAACATAAGTTCATAAGCAGATATTTTTTATAATTATTAGACTTCCATCCCTATAACAATCATTTGCAAATATATTTTCTTAGATGAATCTTAACTTAATTGCCACCCTGAATATGTTAAAAAGGGATGTTACTCCACCATGTATCTTGCATAATTATCATATCACATAGAGTATCTCATCCTAGACGAAAGTGAAAAACATTCTAGAGTAAGTAATTTTCAGGAAAAAATGGATGAGACAATGTGATCAAACAGCTAACTGGTAATCTGACACAAAAGCCATGCCATGATTTACTTGGTGAAAACAACAGCAAAACACCTACCGATTGAATTGGAAAGCACAAATAGGCACTCTAAGACAGATAAACACTTGGGGGAAAAAAGCAACATCAAAGTAAAATAATAAAAAAAATAGGTTTATAACATTCTGGTTTAAGTTGCAATTTTTTGTCTTTTTCTATCTGTCGCATGTTACTTTAGAAGCTTTCTTAGCAAAAGAAACAGTACCAGGTGTGTCCACTGGCTACCAAATGTTCAATGAAAAATTCATACCAACAATTTGCATAAGAATCATAGACTTATGTTAAGTAGCCTTATATCAGTTTTATTTTGGATAACAAGATAGCATTAGAAATCCATGAATATGTGTCTATAAATTCATGGCCTCCAAGGTGTGTTAACTCTAAAAAAAAGAAAGTTTATTTGAATCATTAGGAATGTGCCAGAGACTGAGACTTTGCATGCATTGTTCCCTTGACTCTAGTAAATAAGTATGAATAAAATTTGATGCCATGAACCTACACATATGAGATTCAGAGTTCTCAGTGTAAACACATTACAAATGATATAATATTAGAATGCTCATGAAGGACTGGCAAAACAAATCACTCAATATGTACATGTTCACTTTCATAACATGCTGGTGCAAAATGTCAAATACTTAACAAGTGCAGAAATACATTTTCACACAATTAGGGTACAAGTTCTTCAAAAGAATATGCTTTAATCTCTAAGATATGCCCATCTCATTATAGATTATATTGCTTTATATTATATTGTGATAATGAGTGAATGATTTCAAAATTAGCAAGTAACAAAAAAATATTTATTTTAGCACTGCGATTTGAAATTTTCACAAGTGAAACGTTTTTGAGCTACAATTTGCCAATCAATACTAAAATACAAATCAATTCAACACAAATGAAGGTAAATGTTAAGTATAAAAACGTAAATATTAAATAACTGATTTATCAAGAAATTAGACAAGTTTATATGCATCATTAAATGAACTATGGATGACAGTTTGAAAGTTAAGATAAAGAAGCATTAACAGATTTTAACAACTAGGCAAAAAAATGTACAGTTATTTTCTTCATCGGACACAGAGTCAAAATTTGAAAAAAATTAAATGAGCAAATTAAGAATCTAAAAATGAGCTGTGTTGACACCATGTGACTATTAAAACACCATCAAAGGTTTCATTGAACTAATTACAAGGACAGAACACAAGCCCAGCACCTCAGCATTGACTACAACATTCATTTTATTTTCAAGAGTAAATAAAGTAAAAATAAATGGTGAAGTGTGTTTATGCCACCTAGAAAACATAGATGTAAAAATCAACTTTAAAAAAAAAAAAAAAAATAGAAAGCTAAATTTACAATGTTTTAAAAGCAAAATGATGAAAGCACATTAATCCCCAAAAATTGCAATATTATTTACAAGAACAAATGGCATGGGAGATAAATCTCATGGAATATGGATAGAATTTGGCTGAGTTTCCACCCCATATAGTATACAGGGATCAAAAGAGATACTTAAAATTAGGAAAAAAATAATAAATTAAAGATCACAACATGTTTTGGGTTGAGATAACCTGGATATGCACTAATTTGACAGCACTAATTCTTACTAAAGAATTGAGGATTAACAAATGGAGAGGGCTTAAAGAAATCTTGAGATATGAGTCTTACTTCTTAAAATAACCAACTACTTGATTTGCTTTCTGTATTAAAATGTCTCTGACAGGCTCCAGGAATACCAGGTGCTCTCGTACTTTAGAGATTAATGGGTGTTTTAAAGGGCTGAAGAATAACACATAGAATAGAACCATGGACAGCAGTAGCATAACAACTACAGATAGTATGACAGCTTTCAAACACACACTGCCAGATGATGATTTCGCCTTGTCCTTTTTTGCTGGTTCTGTAGATACTGGTTGCACCACCTGTGGGGATAAGTTGAGTTCTTTTTGTACAACTGGATTAATAAGTTCCTCTTCTAGCATCTTGATCTGTTCATCCAAGCAAGGTTTGTCACTTTCTTCATCACTTTCTTCCACGGTCCTGTTTGGTTCGTATGGAAGGGTTTCATCAATGCTGGTCTCCAAAATTGCTGGCCTCTCTTTTACAACCTATTAGTTAGAAGAAAGTATAAAATAATACTTTCAAATTTCTATACATATCAAGACAAACCACATACAATGATATTGTTAGTTGTGTGATAGAAATATTTCCAATATTTCCATTTTACATATTTTAAGTTACATAGTAGTTAAAATTAATACATTATAAATTTATGTATTTTTCGTAACTGATCATTTTGATTACCTGGCCATTCTCTTTGAGTAATGATGTCATTACCTGGCCATTCTCTTTAAGTATAGGGGTTGCCACTGCAGCAACAGTATTGGCTGCAGACTTCTGAAACTTTTCTTCAAATGCTTCAATGGAAGCTAGAGGAGCTTTAACTTGAGGCCCAGCTTCAATAACTTCTTCTTTTGTTAGTGTAGCTACAGGTGTTTCATTGACCACAAGTATGTTGGGGACATCGACTGCAGCCTCTGTGATAAAAATATTGTATATATTATTATATTAAATGTTAAAGTAATCAAAATTTGAACAACTTGAATTACAAACGCTATTTAACTTGGAAGAGCATCTTGAATCTGAAATAATACACTGAGTTAAACCTGGGTAATTCTGAAAATAACTTTTTATATCCAAAAAGTTGCCACTCCAATATTTTTCTATTAAAAAAAAAAAGAAAAGAACCTTATGAATTATTTCAATTTTTTTTGTTTTTGAAGGAATTCTTTTTTCTTCCTTCACCAATTTTTAAAAGAATTGTGTAAAATAGAAAAATATATGTACTTTTTGAAATAAATATTTTGTGGAGGCAAAAGATTCAAGTCAGTAAAAAAAAAAAATTCATTCTCTCAAACCTCATAGTTAAATCTTATTTCAAATAGGATAAAAAGTTGCAATTGTGGGGGAAGAAACAACTGGGGAAAAAAAAACAACCCAATAAAGTAACATGTCCATCTTAAAGCTTTGGTTCAACATGTCCATCTTAAAGCTTTGGCTTGCGAGTCCAAAACTTACATAAAATATAAAAACATGGCAATTACTTCAAAGTTAGATGTAAAACATTCAGTGAAATAAACCAGGAATAAACCTTTCTGCTGATGATGAATATGTCAAAAAAGCAAAACTGACACTTTTCTGTTCTGTACACTGCATGACACCATGATAGCAAGGGAGGGTTTGAATTACATACTGAATGGAAGTTGAATTAGTTTTTACACAATTAAAAGAAATTGTCAATTATCATCTTACCTACTTTAATAAACTTAATAAACTTTTAGGCTTAAGAGAACATTGGTATTGTGAAGTTAAGTATTGTAATGCTCAATTTGAAAATCATACAGTTTTGTTGCATAGGTATGTTAAGAAAAAAAATCAATTACTTAAATCGAAAATTAATTACATATTTAAAAAAAAATAATGCATTTACAAATTTGTTATTTGGGTTGACAAAATAAATATAATTTTTAAAATAAATTTTTGTTAACTTTTACAAATTTGAACATTATTTCAACATAGCACTTATCCTGAACAGGTCAGTGACTTCATAAGCAGGATTTACAGAGAGGTTCATGGTGGGTAGTAGCACAATACAAAGCATCCATTCTTCTTAACAAGAGATTTCTTCTAAACCACTATTCAATATCAACAATTTCTACAAAGATCATGGCTTCTCTTACACTAATTACACAAAAGACACAAATAACATTTCTTTAAAAACATACTACTATCGCAACAATGCTGACAATGTTTAAAAAAAATCAGTTATTCTTGAGTCAGAGGTTAAAAATAATATAAATATATTAAAAAATTAGAATTTTTTTTAACCAGATCACCAGAAATTTGAGCAAATATAAACATAAAATCTATTTAACTTTAACTTTTTTAGAATAATTTTTCTGTGGTTAAAACAGCTAAAGGCTGCATATAGTCGATTACTTTCTATGGAATCAATGTGTTAGTGAATGGAAAAATAAACAAAATGATAATCTTCTTTTATTGGCACAATATAAATAAACTTTCTACAGGTTGCAACTAAAAAGCTTTAGAGAATATTTGGCTTCAATCAGTAGCAATATGAAATATAGCTTAATCATTGAAATTTAAGAAGTACACATTTTTAAATTTTGTGAATAAATTAGAATTAAAGAATAAAAAAAATAATCCCAACATTTTTTCCCACATCACAAATAACTGTAAAGATAAGCAAATAAAATATTGTTAAATTTTGTCTTTGGCCAAGAATATTTCAAGTTTAAAAAGAAAGCATTGCATCACATTCTTATAAATATCTAAATACACAGTACTGAGAACTACCTATTTCTATGGATTAATAAAATTAAGTGCAACATATACATAAAAATAAATTTATGAGCCTGCTTTACAGTGCTGTGTTAAAATGAACTATTACTAAAGCAGATTTGTAGAAGGGAATTTTAAAAATTGTAATACTATATAATAATGTTCCAGTTTTGAAAATAAATGAAAAAGTTCTATTAAATTGTTAGTAAATGGCACTGATCTCGTGGATATTATACAGATATAGAGTTTTGTTATTTCCAGACCTGTTTACCCCCGAACTCCTAAAATCATAAAATATAGTCTCAAAATCTTACGATACAGTCTCTTAATAGAAAATAAATAAACATACAGTTTATATGTCAATTTTAAAAGTAGAAGACTGATGTTTATATTGCTATCTACGGTCAATTTGTTCTGCAGACATGTATCTGTTATAGATATCCATTAATATTTAGGTGGACGTGCAGATCATATTATCAGTCTGGTAAAAATAAAGTTATTCTTCAAATTTATGTGGTTCAAATTCCAAGTCAGATCAGCATAAAATAAACTATTAAAAAAAGAATTAATTTACAAATTAGGGCGTCATTTAAAAAAAAAACTTACCAAGCTATTTGAGATTAATTTTTTAAAGAAATGCTGTAAAATTTTTTTTTATTGATTCTTATTCTTATTTATTTTTTATTACTAGATATTGATTCTTTTTTCCATTATGCCTATTTCCGTTATCATATTACAGTCTGATAACTACCACAAGCTATAAATGGGTGAAAGGAAGCGGGGGCATTAAAAATTGTACAGCTGTTTTGTGTGTTCTAAAAATATATTTTGAAGGCCCTCTCAGATCCTATAAAAAATTATGTCACAAAATTAAGTCAAACAGCACCGAAGCAATCTGTATAGTATGTACGCTAATTTTTCTAACCACCCCCCCCCTCTTAACCCACCATAGAGAAACTACTGTTCGCAGTTACTATATGGCGCTTAGTCATTTACAATGCATTATCATCATCATCATCAATGGCACTACAGCCCTGGCCTGCTCCACCACATCCTTCCATTCGGAGCGATCCATGGCTTTCTGTCTCCATGCTCGAACCCCCAACTGGTGTAAATCTGTCTCCACATCATCAATCCACCTCACCCTTGGGCGACCGATGAGTCGTCTGCCCCTAGGCTTCTGCCTGTATATAATTTTGGCTGCTCTGCATTCCGGCATCCTTTCAACATGACCTGCCCAGCGTATTCTGCCTTTTTTTTTATCATTGTGACTATGGGTGGTTCTTTGTACAAATAGTAAAGTTCTTGGTTTGTACATATTCTCCAGATATCATTTTCTATCACTGGTCTGTATATTTTGCGGAGGATTTTCCTCTCCCATGTGTTGAGCCTCCATGCGGGAACCCCCAACTGGTGTAAATCCTTCTCTACATCAGGATAATATTGTAGAATTTTTTAATGAAATACGTAGTTTCTTCTGAAAATCGGAAACACCCATTACCCACTCATGGTGTACGTACTATATGGATTGCAGAGGATTGACTAAATTGTCTCTAGGGCAACTATGCTAATATTACTGTTGTTGTATCTACCGAGTTCATTATGAAAATACAAAGCAAAAATTTGACCATTACCACTATTATTACGAAAATGTGGCAGCGTTAATTTTATTTTATTGACTTAAATATTTGGACCCCCCACCACCACAAAACATCCTAAATCAACACCACTCCATTTCCCTCTCAGGCAGGGCAGACCTAATATAATTATAGATGGTTCCCAACCAATCACATTTCTCAATCCATTCAATTCATTTCTGGACGTAGAATGCAAATTATGCATTATTTTTTCTTATATCGGAAAAAACTACTGGAATGTATATATTTTCAACCCTGTCTCTCCAAGTCCTAGTTCTGTCAGGTCTTGTTGTACAATCGTAAAAGACATCTCAAAATCGTATATTTCACACCTAAATCGTAAGAGTAAACAGGCCTGTATTTCACTTGGCATATTAAGAACGTAAGATATAAATCATGGTAAACCCCTCAATACCAAAAATAAGAAGAAAAAAAAAAGGAGATGTAAAAGGGGTTTTAGCATATAATAACTTTTTAAGGACTTAATTATTTTTCTTGTATTATTGGAATAACCCGTTTTTTTCTTCTTCAAAATGTTTTAAAAAATTCTATATTTTTGAAAAATATGTCATCCCTGTTAAGAAGCCAACTTTTATCAATTAAAGAAATAATTTAATAGTATGAATACCATCCTCCTAGGATAATTTTAAAAATTGAATGAAGTCTTACAATAGGCTGTGATAACAGATACATGCAAAAATATCTTGAATTGTAAAATATAAAGCAAAATAGATTCTGAAGCATTATAGGATTTTACAGGCAAAAAAACAACCACCACAAAACCAGGTCATCTGATTGAAAGCAAACCATGTTTACCTTCTTTGTTTTTGCCTGGAGCCAGATAAACTGGAGAGTGAACAACATCCTCAGTTACTTCTATGGAGTTTGCAGATTATTCATTTATATAAGGTTCAGGATCAGAGGCACAAAAAAAATAGATTAAAAAGTCACTGCACATGCATTTAAGGATTATCATTTACAATGAAACTTTAAATACATTTTGTGTGATAAAACAGCGATTGGATCATGCTACATAAAGAATTTTAATGATACAATTTCTTGTTAAATTACAGCTCCCTTTTTAAGTGTCTGTCATCTATTAAAAATCAATAGTGAGCCAAGTGTAAACAAAAAAAAAAAAATTAAAAAAAAAGGGGAAGGGGGTGTGTTTTGAAGAGGTTTCATATAAAAAAAAGTATTGGACTTACCATTAAACTTTCTGCGATCTATTGTTGTGAGAACATAGGGGAATAAATCTAATTAATTTTACAAAAGCAAATTTGTCTAAGTATAATTTTAGAATTTTTAAGTCCAAAGAAAAGATAACAGAATCAAGAATCATATTTCAATGAACAACAAAAGTAACTTAACATGTACTTCAGTAATTCAAATATTTCTTGTCATGAGTATTTTAGAGAAAAAATATTATCCTAGAATTTCTTGTTGATTTCAAGTCATAAATCATAAACATCATGCAGGAGTTAAAAATATTTTCACTGCAATAAAGGTAGATGTGAATCAATCTCCACTCAGCTCCTATAGCCTTAAAACGCTTGGGGGTTGCAGCCATAAGACAGTGGAGGGTTGTAATAAGAGATTTCCTTCTTTTAGGGTGACAAATTTTATGTCTAAATTTGTGCAATTGGTTTTTCTGGTATTGTTGGGGTTTGAACTTCAGCCCTAGAGCCAGTATGTAATGTTCTTTTTTTCAACACACCAAACCACACAGCCATAAAAAAAAAATTTATGCATCAAATATGATTACATTTTCTTAAATAATAGCTTCAAAATTAATAAAAAGCATAGCGTAAATCATTAAATAGATTACTTTTACGCATTTGAAAATGTGAAGAAAAAGAAAGTGATCTGGATTAATAAAATTATATTTGTTTATGTGAATTAATAGTGGCTTCTTCAAGTCTTGAATCTTAAACCAGTCTTTCTTGAAAAAAAAAAGTAAGCTTCTGTTGTAGCTTTAAAACAAATATTAATTTCTTATACTTTCATGCTTGACTTGGCCACACAAGTTTTTGGAATTGTCACAACACTGAGAAATGAGTTTGACAAAGTCAAACAAATATTATGTAAAGATAAGTTTTCAAAAGAAATAATAATTGGAATAAATGAAAAAAGAGAATAAAAAAATATTTGAAAAAATAGACTTCACATTATATTTTACATTTCATTTTCATGATAGAAAAGGCCACAAGAATGAAGCAATTGGTAGCCATGGTTACCAAATATAATCATTCTTAAGCCCGTTCATTCATAAACCAATCCCCTAGTTTTGGTAGGGAAAAATATTTAAACTCACTTATAAGCCAAACCGTAAAAAATATATGCTATTTTAAGCAATTAGGTACAAAAAAATTTAAAAAAAAAAAAAAAAAAAAAAATACAGACTTTTAAAAATATTTATGTGCAAGTAAAAGACATAAAAACAAATATATACGGTAATGTATACCAATGTATACAAACACTGCTTTACTGTAACTTCGTTTAACTACTTTGTAATTGCTTTCTATGGTTGAATCAATATATTTAGAGAAAATTTGTAAAGTCTTATATGACCTACTTATATTACCCTGAAATTTATTTTTTAAGTCGGTTTTAGATCCAGAATATTTTTTAAGTACAAAACCTCAAGATCAAGATAATATTAGCAAATATGGTTAAAGTAAAAACGTGGAAAGAACTAAAGTGAAGAATTCTTAAACGACTAATTAAGGAAAGGGGTTAAAAAAAAATATATATCTAAATACATCAAAGCCTTGCATTCAATATATTTGAATATCAAATGCTGGTTGTCATGATTATTACTATTTCTTTTACCCTCATATTTTACTTTCAAGGTTTTTTTTTTTTTAATAATATTATTGTAACCATTTCTGACTTGAAATTTACAGAAAGTAAATCTATAATTTAAACCTCAAATGAATTGCATAATTTGCTCACCTTCTCTAAAACTTTCTGATGCAAGATTCTCACGAACAAGAGTATTGTTCTTTTCATGTCCATGACTTTTCTTTCCGAAATTAGGCAATGAAGAAGTCCTGTCCAAATAGATAAGGAAAACTTTTCGTGCTACTTAGGCATGGAAATAGATTTTAATGCTAATGCATGGAGCAGATTAGTTTCTTAGCCCCCAAACTAGCATGACTTATGATAAAAATGTTGAAACACAAGTGAAACACTTATGCCTCAAAGTTTTTTCTCTCTATAAAATCGGGTAGAATACTTCAATGATTAACAACCCATTTTGAAGCCTCTTATTTAACCTCTTTCAACCTCGTGGTTGATTCCTGCCAATACCAATTCAAACCCTGTAACTCGCAAATCAAATTCAGCTGCCCAAAACGCTTTATGCAAGGTGCTATCCACCTGTTTCCGTAATTTTAGATGAGGATCAAACCTAAATAATATTTGTTGGCACCCATGAAACCTTAATGAAATAATGTTATACAACACATAATGCAAACGGTAATGAATGCAATTTACTCCCTGTCATTTCATTACCGGTATAACACAAAAAGATTAACCAATCTATGGTACATATGAAGTTGTTTTTTTTCTCTGTGAGTTGAATGGATGAAAATTCTGAGCAGCTCAGGTTGAATAGGTTGAACCACAAAGAGATATATCTCAAAGAATCAAGAAGAAAATGAGGCAAATGATGAGGAAAGACATGATTTTATTACCTAGCAAAAGGTGGCTCAGTTCTGCGTATGTTCTCACTAGCCTCATATGCTTCATTTTGGCATCGCCCACTGGCAAAGACAACAATGCAAGCTGTTAGTTACATTCATGCCAGAGAAAAGAAATAAGAACCTAATGAATAAGTTTAGTCTAGATTTCAGCTGAAATATCTAAAAGTCAAGTATGAGAAATGGTTCGAGGTCTTGGCTTACCAGCTTACTCTGTGTGCACAATTATTTGCATGCGCTGCTAAAATTTGAACCCTAATGAATTTAAGGTTAAAACAGAAGAAAAACACCCACCAATTCCTTTTAAATTTTCATTTTAAGAAAAAAAAATTACTATAACAATGCAATGTTAAAAACCTGAATCGAAATTTGGATCCCCTTGAAAAGAGGCTTCCTCCAGATCGTATTTTAGGAGCAGTAGCTGATGAAGATAATCTAAAACAAAAAGAAAGGATAAAAGTTAAGCTTCAGTTGAAAAGTAATTAAAAAAGAAAATCTTAAAAAAAAATATATTGGTATTTGTCAAAATTTGTAATTTGATTCATGTTAATAAATAATATTATTTCTGATGTATAAAAAAAGGGTAGAAATGACCACATTTTAAACACAGCTAAGAATCTATCAAGAAAAATATGGATACAAATTTCAAAAACATTTATGATTTTAAATCAGACAGTAGATGCAAGAGAAGTTGAAATAGTAAACAAATAAATAAAGTGGCTATTTTGGAAGCAACAAACTCATTTAAATGTCCCAGGTCATGTCATAAATATTATTCCTTTAAAAAAAATCTGTCATTTTTTTAAAGACCACTGGTTCTGTGGATGTAAACTGATGGCTGATTTGTAGATTAAAATTCAATTTGGTGACCACCTATGACCCAATGAACACATCTTAAGGGACCATACATAAGTGGCAATGCTCGGGGGTGGGCGGTGTCGGATAAAAATTGACCTAAATGGTGTGACGTTACTTCCAGGGCGCTGCTCTGCAGACGACCTGGTTGCATTATTGCATCTTTTTTTAAACAAGTTTTTACATGTTTTATTTAATTGTGTTTCACTCAAGTAAAAATGGAGGGGCTAGGGATGATTTTCTTGTGAGCTTTGTGTGTTTCTCTTTGCGGGAAACAGCTTTAATATGGACTTTGGATATCAAATTACTCAGACTAGCAAAAAAATGTCACTTCTGCCATTTTTGTAAGCTTCCGTCATGCCCACAACAAATGGCGACCGATTCACGACTGAGACGAAGACAGCGGGGCAGAAAGGGAGGCATTCGTGTGAAATGCAGAAACAGAGGCTTTCTTCCACCTGTTGTTTTGGGAAACGTTAGATCACTATGTAACAAGATGGATGAACTGGATTCTTGCTGTAAGGATTTCTATCAATTTCTGCAAAAGCTCTATAATATGTCTGACAGAAACCTGGCTTAATGAAAAGGTACCAGATTCAGCAGTGGCACTGGACGAATTTAACATTTCCGTGCCAATAGAACAACTGACAGCGGCAAATCCAAGGGAGCAGGATTGGCAATATATGTTGACAAAAACTACTGTTGTTTTATTGTAAGTGTCCACTGATCCTTCTTTAAGAATTAAGACATTGTTTTAGTTTTGTTAAAATTTCAGCTTTTAGTTCCAGAAATATTTCTTGATAATTATTTCCAGGGCCAGTGCTGTAAGTTGGTTTGGCTATAAAAAAAACAAAAACAAAAAACAAACAGCAACAGATAACGCCTATAAATTTAAAAAATTGATTTTGAAAACAGACATTTTATCCATACTGCAAAATAAAATCAAGAGGAAAAATAAGGATTTAGAAAAAAACAAGCAAACACCACACCACAATAGAGCCCGGTTATCAACAACAGTGCAGTGAAACATGTAGCTTGTACACCCGCCATAGAACTATTCTGCATCACTTTAAAGCCATTTTTACCAATCTAGGAAGTTCACCCAAATCTGTATCATCCTCACATTACACCTAATGCTAACAAAGCTGCAGGCTACTGAGAGACTTTAGGATGTAATCAATGAAAACTCAAACTCCGAAAGTTTAGCATTCAGCGTGCTCCCCCTGAAGTCACAAATCTTAATGAGAACTCATAAGTCCCTGATATGGCTAAGATAATTCACTGAATTGTTTTTTCCCCCCCCCCACTAGTAAAATAATTTAATGTGGATGTCTCGTGTTCAAATCGTTATATTTATGTGCTGAAAAGGTACAATGCAATCAAAAAGCATTTCCATTTGTTTGGATCAATAAAAGAATCTTATCTTATTTTATTTATGGATGGCCTCTAAGCTGGTCCATGTGACTAAGAACTGTGATAAGAAGATAGTTATGATAAACATCTATTTCAAATAAGATGATGTCTTACAGTGCTGATAAAATTACCCATGATTAGAAATCCCCTTCTTAAACTTTAAAGGACTTAGTGGTCCAAATTTTCAGAAGCACTGGACTCTCAGGTGAGAATACCTTACTACAGAGCTAATCCGTCCAGTGTAGTGAGGAAATGAAACAACAGTTAACTTACGTGAAGAACAGCTGTTGTTCAACAGCACACCTCCACAAGTATTTAGCAGCAGCAGCTGTTAAGCATTTAAATCCAACTGCTTGATGTTTCTGTTGGATACATTTTTGAAAACTGAATATCTAAAAATAAAATCACCTCTTTTTGAAAATTTCATTAAAGTAATGACTTTCAACCACTTGTGTCCTTTAAATGAAAATGTTATTTCTCTAAAAGTATTTTAAAATACGATAGATAAAAGATTTTTGCACAACATTGTCATGTAAGTATTTATTGACGCCCATTTGATTATTATTTAAATAGTCTTTAATAACATTTCACTTAATTTAATGAGAAAACAATAAGATTTTAAAATAATAATAATTAAAGAGAAACAAAAAAACGGCTTTCTCATTTTTTGTTAAATACATTTTTTTTAAATTAACCATTACCAAATACTACTTTCTAAGATGATCAATTCATACTTTGAAAATAATACCGCCAAATATATCCCTAAAGTAGAATATTAGAAATAAAAATATGTAGCCTCCTTTGTTTTTAAGATTAAATCAAAATATACTAGTGGGTCCCCACCGCAAAACGAACAGTTCGCACATTGAATGTGGACGTTCGTCCAAAAATGATTCAAATATAAACTGCAACTTACTTAACAAACTGAGTCAGTGAATATTTTATGAAAAACATGCGCGCATACAAATGGTTCATTCTGAGCAATACTGAAGGGGAACGAGTAAGTGGCATTCTTGTTAGTGTGGGGTTGTGTGTGCATGGTTGTTGGCATGTTTATGTTGTGCTGTGTCAATTTTGTGTTAGGATAAATGGGCAAACTATTTTAAGGTGCGTTTTATTTATTTGTTTAGGATCGTCAGGTGGTACTAGAAAATAGCTATAAACAAAAAGATCTTACTCACGTATATTGATTAATAACAATACTTATGTATTTCAGGGTATAAACTTCAGGGTATAAATATAGTGTTGTTTCTATGCACAAGTTTTGTGTTATAATAAACTGTTCATGGCCCTAGAATGTTTGTTTACTTCATGACACATTGTGATATAAAACACCGATTACAGTCAATTTTTCAGAATTCCACATTTTCAACTCATTCTTAATGTGATGATATTTTCATGCTTTAATTACTTCATATTTAAATACGCCTATAACAAGATTGATGCAACTTATTTGGCTCAAGACTCTAAAGAAAAGAAGGAGTTAAACAATAAATTTAAAAGAAAGAATAAAAGAAAGAAAAAAAAAAAAAGCTTTGTTTTGAGATAATTATTTTTTTATAAATATTTTAAAATCTCTAATCACCTTCTTCCTCTAGAAACAAGGAAGCATTAAAGAAGAAAAATAAGAATTCAAAGTTCACAACAGATAAACATGCATTTAAAATTTATATACAGGATGATTAAAACATTTCTTATGCAACTCATGCATGAAAATATCTAGTCCAAAAGTTCTATCTAATTTAAGACAAACAGCATCTCATAAATTGGGATAAAATTTACACTAAACTATGATAAAGGGCCGTATGTGTTAGTCTCTAAACATGCTAAATATTAATATTTGCAATAAGTATGGTGTGTATGGATCAATAACATCTCTAAAAAATAAATTCTCTATAATTTTAAGTCTACATCATTTAAATCAGTGGTTCTCAACCTTTTTTGCTACCCTTTTAGGGATCGCCTGACAATTTGCACACAAATAAAATTGATAATTCAATTACAATCAATACCCTTCCCTTTAAATTCTCAACAAATGTTTCTCAATTTCTAAGAATAATTCTTGTGTGTTGACACAACATGGGAAATGTTATCAAAGCTTGAGAAATGCTGATTTAAATAAACAAAGCACAAAAACAATATTCTGTGGTCATGGTAGATATTTAAACAAGCCAGCATAACTCCATGTAATCCTATTGAGATCAAGACCCAAACAAAATTATGAATTTCTTTAAAAAAAACAAACAAAAGACAAGGAAACCTATATAAAAAAAAAAGTGTTCTCAAATGTGTTTTTGAAGAAGGATTAAAAAATTATTTATTTGGACTTGTACACTAGTGACCAAATAATAAAAAATTTGTGTATGGTGGAAACCTAAAAAACAATATTAAGTTTATTTGCAAACAACCAATATATAATGCAAATAATATTCAATTGTGGGAGTTCAAAGAAAAATAAAAAGCCAATTGTAGCTTTTAATATTTATATCATGTGTTACTTTAACAGCTCTGAAGCACAAGTGAACCTGTAAAGATAGCATGACTAATTTCATTTAATTGTTTTATAAACATTCAGAAATGCCTTCAATTGCATTTTCAAATATACGGCATCTCAAGATTCAGAAAAAAAAACAATAATAATTAGCACACATGAAATACAATTGATTGGTAATAGCAAAACAACACTATGAAAGACCCATTTACATGTAAGTTCAAAATTATTTTACCTTGGATTTGAGTTCTATATTAATCACCATGTGTAATATACCCACTAATATGGCAAAAATCTGCCTAATCAACTCCACACTAAACTTATAAATTAGGGCACCCTGCTGAGCTCTCTACTGTGTTGTGAAATAAGTTATCCTTATAAAATTTAAGAAAGAGGAGTCTCTATAATCATCACCAACTGGTAATGCTACATACAAATTGCTTTCAAAGGAATGGTCTGGACAATATTTTATTAGAGAGAAATCATATTAAATTGTTTAGAAATAAATGATCTGTTATTAAAATACATCAGAATAAAAAAAAAAACAGTTCCTAAAATGTATACTGGATAAGGCATACATTTTAAGTAGTAAAAAATGTAGCACAATCCTAGCTGGCAAGCTTATTTAAAATTATGCAAACAAATTCTAGTAGTAATCTTTAACTGTTTTATTTGGGGTATAATAGCGGGGTATAGTAGCAGGGTAAAGTAGCATAACTGAATTAAAACCATGATGCACTAAACATAGTTTTGAAAACACTAAAAGGAGCTTTATAACTATTAACAACAGCGTAGGTTAACAATATAAAATATCCTTTTATAGTCAAAACTCTGGTTGCTATTTCTTTAACTTTGACTTCCACTCAATATCAATTTTAGCTGCTCTACTTCTACGTAGATTCACTAAACCCTTTGCCCCAATGTCAGTAAATAGATGAATCTCCCAAAGTGGAATTTTAATTACCCATAAATTATCCTGAATAATGCAAAAAATGGTGTGATAAAAAAAATTTGTCAGACTAAGAGAAGCATTTATTTTAAAATAGTTCCACAATATTATCAAATAGCTTGTAAAACTGAATCATACACTTGCAGTTTGATGCCAAGGACCTTCAGTAGGAATTGTATCGCAAGGCTTCTTGAATATTTAACCATATGAATCATTCAACTAAACTACTGCCTGTAGGTGTAAGCATAATTATAAATTGTTATGACAGTAATAAGTGCCACACATCTTTGATAGTGGGGAACTCTTCAACATTTGTATTTGACTTTCCAGATTGAAAAACCAATAATGATATGTTAAATAATGAACACAAACAATCTTGTGTCACTGAAAAAAAGCACAAAGAGACTTTACAGTCTTCAGCACATTGTAAACTCCATTTACTGCTTCTAGAAATGTCTATTTCAAAGTTATTTTCACTCTGTGTGTATCTGTAACAATTATTTCCTACTGATGTCTGTCAGACAATAATAACAGTATCTCAACTTAAGTCATCACAGCGCCAGCCTAAATATAACAGGATCTGCACATTTGTACGTTTCTTCTGGAAATCAACAATAATTTCTCTCTTTTTTTTTTTTCACTTAACTAAAGAAAATTTTCATCACACCAAGGAATAAATTCTGTAACTACTTTTAAGCTATAAACCTTCCCTCTTTAGATAAAGGGCCAGTGATGGCTCCACATCTGTAATGTACTATAATCAAAATACACAAAAGTTATTTCCCTAGTGTTGCTAGCATTTATTCTCAGGTTAAAACATGAGTAGAACATACAAAAATAAAATAAAATAAATCAGGAACTGGATTATTACAAATATTAATCAAGTATTCATCTACCAATGCTAAAGCAATACCATTAATAGTAAAACCATAAGTCAATGTGCAAAAACCGAAAGCAGAACAAGAAATGCTGAAACCCATCATTAGGAACAGACAAATGTGTGTGTGAAAGAAGAATCCCATGTGAAGGGTTGCTCCTCTAAAAATGAAAGCTCCACAATGAAAATTGTATAATTTACTTTAAGTACTATAACGATCTGTTGATTTTTTTTTTTTTTTTTTACATAGAAAAATCTACACATTTGATCTGCTTTTATTTCCTTTAGATTATTTAAATTTAATAATAGGTCAATGATTTTAATTTTATTAAAACTAAAATTCTTTAAAAGTAATATACCAGTATTTTATGGCAACCAAATTTATTACAGTTACAGGTATGCAGAATGCTTGAAAACTGGAACTCTTAAAAATAATACGGTCATTTTTGTCAGGTTTTTTGTTGATCAGCAAAATGTGGAAATCATGCAGAAAGACAAAATAAGTCGTATGCAATGACAATTAATTTTTTTTACTTACTTTTATGAGTTTTTTTTTTTTTTTAAATAATACCAAGGCGTATGCAACTTTAAGGAATTTATCACTTAAAATGAAACAACTTTTAATTTTCAGAAAATGGGTTTGATAACAAGTCCCTTTAATAATCTAGGAAGTCAATTTTAATATTTACAGGGGTCAGTAAAATTTTATACAACACATCAATTAACTTTTTAAATTAACAAACATGCAACTTTACATATTTTGATTGAAAATTCAAAAATGCAGATACATGCAAAATATTTAATGATATACCACACAAAAATTGTGGGTGATATTTATCTTACCGCTGTGATACTGATTTCCTGTGGCAAACATTGATCAAAAAATTGGAAAATATGAACGAAATAAGGGAAATTAATTCTAATTTCCCAGCATGATTTATTGCATTTTGTTGAACTGAAAACTAAGTTTCAATTCTTTAACAGGTATTTCCTACTCAATTACTCACTAACAAACTTATTCTCACTTATCATCCTCACACTCTCATAGCCATACATGTTTTACTAAACAACCTGCCATTCTCATCTCTGACCCTGACACCAGCAACATTTCCTCTTCCCTGCCTCTCATTGTTTTCAGACAAGAAATAACATCTGAAAGATCTCCTTGTGCATATTTGCATCTGCAGCTGTTGCGAAACCTGCCCTTTTGTCATCCAGACTTAACACATTCCCTTCCCTAAGGGTAGTTTTCTGATAAGGGATGGTTTCCTTTGTACTAACTGCAATGTTGTCTTAGTCCATTGTTTGTACCCTTTGACAGATGATATATCTAGGTGAGACTGGACAGCACCTCTCAGAAAGTTGTACTGAACACCTTCAAAATATTGTCCCATATCAAAACAATTCAAAAGAAGTGGCCACGAGAGCTCAGGGGATTTTACTTTCATCGCCATTGTGTCTTGTACAAACACGCCAAACCGAGTGAACTTGGAAAATTATTCAGACTTATGGGACCTTGACATCAAATGGCATGAATGTCATATTCACTTTTTGAACTTTTTCTCTGCCCTTTCCTTATTACGACCAATCACAATGGACTTACTTTTCCTCTCTTCCGTAGTCCCATTTTGCCCATATTAACTTTCTCACCTTCTTATGAGCTATCACATTCCTCTGGCTGTCCTCTCGGACACTACATTGCAGCTAAGTGTTATTTAATATTGTTTTTACTGTTGTTTGTTTGCTGAAGAAGGCTTCTTGCAGATGGGTTAGTTGTTTTGTTGTATCTTTTTTTCAGGCTTTATCATATATTGCAGTTCTGTAGCCAGCAGAGATTGGCCAGTATGTTCACATATGCTGCGCTATAAGTTTGGCTAGTATGTGCACTTATGATATTCTATAAGTTTTAATCAGCATTCAACATCATGCCATTTCCAAAATTATTCTTCTCACTATAATTCAACACATGCATTTTTTACACTTCTTTTCTACCATTCAAACAATAAATCTCACAAATATGAAGCTGTTGAATTACAGGTGTAAATATTGAAATGGCAGTTGTATGTAACAACCTTGATCAAAGTGTAATTAATTGATGCAGGCAGACCTTTTTACCCTTAAATTCTGAAAATCGTCTCAAAATCTTAAAATACAGTATCTTAATAGTAAATAAATAAACAAACAATATATATAGTTTATAACTACTCGCATCGTGTGTCAAGTGGGATTAAGTTAAACTGACGTCAAAAAAGCTAAATTCTAAAATTACATAACTGACGTTTATATTGCTATCTGCTGTCACTTTGTTTTGCTGATGTATCTGTTATAGATATCAATTAATATTTAGGTGAACGAGTCACTGGTAAAAATAAAGTTACTGGTGAAATTTAACGTGGTTCAAACTCGAAGTCAGACCAGCATAAAATAAAATTTATTAAAATACGATTAACAAATAAGGGCGCCATTTAAAAAATACCTACCAAGTAACTTGAGATTTACCTTTTAAGAACAGCTCTTTAAAAATAAGAACCAACATCCCTTATGCCTATTTCCTGTTAATAAATTACAATCTAAAAACTATCTACAGCTGTAAATGGGTGAAAAGAAGAGGGCCATTAAAAATCATACAGCTGTTTTATACATTCTAAAATAGGTTTCAAAGGCCATCTTAGACTCTACGAAATCTTATGTTGCTGCACGGAACAGTTGTATGTATTCTCTAATTTTCTCTGTTTCTGCACTTGCCATGCTTCAGCCATAAGAATTATGCCACAAAATTAAATCATACAGCCCCAAAACAAACAAACACAAGGAGGGGGTATCTGTATAGTACATACGAATAATAATAAAAAAATCACAATTTTTCTAACACCCCCCCACGCCGAGTAACAACTGTTTAGCACTTAGTGATTAACGTGTTATATTTATTTTAACCAACCCTTTATATTTTATTTTGTTTATTTATTCGCTATTTCGGAGTTTGTTTGTTATAATTTAACACAGGGAGACTGGTGAAAACCTAAAATTGGCATAGGCACCAGGAAACAAAAATTTCTTACGTACTGGCATAGCCCAACAAAATATACATCACATGCATATTGAACATATGTATGGTGGACTAAATATTACTGTAATATCTCTACTATTCAGTACTATCAGTTCATTTATGAAAATGCATCGCAACATTATGAAGATAATTCCTACAAACCATTGCTTGATATTTTTAAAGCATTCAAAATATAAATATGCTATTTTTGGACTTTCAGACTTATGTACTTTCTGATGGGACTCCCCGGACATATGCATGTGTACGCAATATCTAAAAAATTGACCACCCCCTTGCCCCTCAGTGTGTTCATACTATAATAATGGCCCCGGATGGACTATAACTGTCACTAGGGCGATTACTCCATTATTACTGTTGTAGTGTCTAGCCAGTTCATTATGAAAACACAAAGCAGCAATATGACCATCATCACTATCATTGCAAAAATGTGGCAGTGTTAATTTTATAGAGTTAAAATATTTAGATCCCCCACCCAAACACAAAATCTCCTAAATCAACACCACTCCATTCTCCACACAGGGAAACATATAATTATGGATGGTCCCCAACCAATCTTAACACAGTTTCCTAAAATTGTAGTTCTGTCAGGTTTTGGTGTACAATCGTAAAAGACATCTCATATCATACATTTTACACCAAAATTGTAAGAGTGAACAGGTATGTGCAGGTAAATAGAGTTAGTGGCTGATAAAAGGGATCACATAAGGGTTGAACAATATTATCAAACAGCTTGTAAAACAGCCAGAGAGGTCTGCAGCTGCTACTCATAAGCTTTTTTAGATTAGGTGGTGACTTTTCATAAAAAGCTGTATAGTAAAAATAGGTTGGAACATGTTTCCGTAATTTTTTAAAATTTAAAATCTTGCTAGGCTACTAATATGCTACTCCAGCCATAACAGTAATTTTTTATGGTAAAAAGGGGGAAAGTAATTTTTCACCCTCCCAAATTCTCAAATGCTACAGCACAACTCAGCATTTTTCACCCTCGCTGTATTGTTCTCATCCTGGTTTCTTAGGAGCCTGACTTCCAATACAACAGGAATGCTTTTTTTGTTGTTGTGAGAACATACTTTCTTTTTTCAGAAATCTCAACGCTGCAGTAAAAATTTACGAGAGTTCTAGTTAAATAAAGATTTCTAAGCTCATGCAATGTTTACTGTATATAGACTAGCAATGTTAGATATTGAAACAATTGAAATGGTTGATGTAGAGCCCGTTTAAAGTATAGTAGAAAATGATATTGATGATCTTATACTAATAGTCGAAGATATATTTGAAAGAGACTTTTAAATATTTTACTGGCAAAATGGAAGATAATGTTAGCTGCAGGCGAGGGTGACCAACCACAATGACGTGCTCTGAACTTGTGCAGACTGTACCACCAATATTACAAATGACATGTTTTTCTTTAAATAACTTAATTTTTTGCATGATTATGCTTAATGTTACATTTGATGTATAAATTATTTCTTTTTAAAAATAAATAACATGTACCTTTCTAAAGTTTATATCAAAAGTAGTTTAAACAGGGCTGAGCTAATTATTTACAAATGATAACATAAACAGCTATTAAATCTTAATAAAATATGATAATTTTTAGAATAGTTTATTTAAATGTATAAAGCAACTAAAGTGCACACCAAAACCAAATAAAAATAGCATATTTCCCTTTTTGATTATTGAAGAGAGGAAAAAATCCTAGAAAAAAGCATAAAGTTTCGGTTTCAAGAAATTAAATTAAATTGTCAGTTTTTTCTCACCTTTTTAGAACTAGTTGTATCTTCATCCTGAAAAAATGTCAAAAGAGATGTCTCCTCCACATATGTGAATGGCTAAGCTTATAATATATTTGATATTCAGACCTGATATAATGATGGGTCTTATTTTACCTGTAGGTAACATACAGCTAGGATCAAGTGAACTTTTAAAAAATGAGCTTCATATTCTAGACAAAAAGATGATTTTAGGATAACTTTTAAGTACTTGTATATTTATTTAGCTTGAAATATATTATAATAAAGATAGTGGAGCAAAATGCTTTTTTCTCCAGAATTTACTTAATAATATTAAAATAATGAGAAATATTCTCATAATTTTAGTTGAAAATAAAGGCTTTAAGCTTACCTCTGAACCACTGTGATTAATAATGAACATTTTCCCTTCATATGCAATTCTTCTTATTTGGTTCCTGAAATTTTAATATTAACGATCTCTAATTTAGCAATTTAAAATTTAGCAGATAGTAACTGGCTTTAGAATTTTATCTGAAAAGCATGATCAAATATAAATGATTTTATATTTGAGATTTCAAACAAGGATACATTTTTATTACTCTATCAATATTTTTTTAAAAAAAGAGAGACTATTACTTTACAATCCTTTTCATCCCCAAAACTACAATACCTTCATATTCATATATATAGCCTTAATTTTATTCCTAAAGAGCTGTTGTAAATACATTTCTTGTTAAAATTAAAGAAGGAATTGATTTCTTCCATTTTCAATAACAATATTTTTATGGAATCTTGATGTGAATTTTTTTTTAAAGATAGCTGTAACCATTTAATTGCAAACAAATTCAACAAATATTATACCTAGTGACTGAACATTTTGTTGCATTTTTGCCACATACCATGACATAAATTTATTTCATTAAACAAGGGGTTGATTCGCTTAAGCAAATTAATTAAAAATAGGCATGTCTTCACTTGTACAACTAGGAGGAAATAATCAAATCATTGTAAAATGATTTTCAAAATGTTGATGAACTAAAAAAGCAAAGACAGGACTTAAGTTCATGAGTATGTAGATTTCTCCATCAAAATTAGAAAATCTTGTTACTGAGCATAATTTATCAAAAAGTTTAATATTCTTTATAACCAAAGTGGGCACCACGGTCTCATTGTATACAAAGAAAAAGAAATTGGTGCTAAGCACTGCTCTACTAACACAGACTTGTTTTTGCTTTATTTGCTCCTCTAAAAACACATATCATACTATTATATAAAATCAATGCTTCAAATTTTTAAGAAAAGAAATGTTTGGGGTGTTTTAGCATTACTACATTACATAATATAAAATGGCTGATTAAAAGGAACAATAGACAGTGGACTCTGAGACTACAGTGAAACATTAACTTTCTGACCAGAAATTTAAAAAAAAATATTTAAAAAAAATAAATAATTTGTGTGTGGTTTAAACAATGCACAGACAAAAGTAAGATCAATGGACAATACAAACCAAGTTTGGTTTTATTGAGCAATTCCACACTATAAGTTAACGCAAACAAAGATGACTATGATACTATTTTTTTTTGTTTCTTGTCCAAAGTAAGTCAGAAATCTCCAGTATATTTTCGGAATCACTAAAGTAGAAAAAGTGACTTTTTTCAGCAAAGAAAAACCTGGCTGAAGAGTTAATAGCTTATCAAGAATCAGTAATATTTGGGTTCAATATATTTGTACATTTTCATATTTTATAATTTTTTGGTGAAAGAAAAGAAAGAAATACTGACCATTTGAAGAGCTGGGTTCTTCTGCTTCCTCTGAAGGTCATTATGCCCAAATGTGTGACTCCTAGATAAAGAGGATCTCCTCTTTGATCCTAAAAAATAAAAAAAAAACCACCAATTTTTAAAGCTTCCTTACTGAATACATCTTTTCATAATTAAAAAAAAAAATTAACAAAAACATTCCCTTTATCATAATACAGAGTTAATATGTCAATGGTTTTACCTTAACTTGGTGTGGATCAACCCCGTATGTATCCATACTTGCAGCCTTTCTGAGGAAGTTTGCTTCACATTCAGATGGAACTTCTCCTCTGGAGAAAAAAAAAAAAAAAAAAAAAAAAAAAAAAAAAAATAAAAATATAAAAAAAAAAAAAAAAAAAAAAAAAAAAAAAAAAGAGTTATGTGTGCTGTTAAATAACAAGCTAAACTTAATAATTAACCATCATCTTGTGAAATTTTCTTCACTATACCAGACCTGTTTACCTAAAACTCTTAAAATTGTACAATATCTTAACAAAATCGTTCAATATATTATCTTAATAGTAAAAAATAAACATACACTATATATCATGTATACACCTCAAAATCGTACATTGTACGCCAAAATCTTAAGAGTAAACAGGTCTGCTATACATTAAGACAGTTGAGATAAACTTAGCCAACATTATGAGCAACCAAATAGGAAACATGTACAAATTACAATAATAAATAATGATACTTACGCCAAGGCTCTATGGGCCTCCATTATTTTTTCTTCATGCTTAGGTGTTTGCTTGGGTAACATCTTGAACTCTGACACATAACCTGGTAAATGGTCTTGAGGGTCATAATCACCAACCTCAGCTACAAGGGATAATTAAAAAAAAAATAAAATTAATAATTTTAAAGAGAGTGACAGCAAAACAAATGGTACTGAACTACTCTGACCTTTTATAGTATTGTGCATAATGAGGAAGAGGTGTACAGAGAGCTTGGTAGAAAATAGAAAAGGGTGGTGGGGTGGAGCAAGTCTTGGTAAAATGCAGGTGCTGGGAAAATAATACTCAAAGATAAAAGAGCAATCAGTGTAGCAGGAAACAAAAGATTCCTAAGTTATGGGTTTCCAATGGCAGATCTATTATTCCATCACTATGAGAAAAGTGATGATCTTAAAAATATGTTTATTCAGGACAGATAGTTACAATTCTGGTTTAGGGGCTATTTATTTAAGGGGAGATATGGAAACAGAATGTTGGAGGAAATATTTGAAGTCATCAGAGGGAAATAATTCAATGTTAGATCAAACAAATCAAACAGTCAAGATGTGTCCATGAATAGCAGTTTGATTAATTTCTGCGTAATCATAGGGATATCAGATTGTGGTTGTGACAAGTGGAACATGCAATGTTGGGAAAATAAGGACAGCAATCTTTTTGTGGAGACTGATGACCAGTCTACCATTGTCAATTAACAGTGCTTTTCAATAAACCTTGCAGTTAGATCAAGGAAATATTGCCATCGTGGGTAAGCGTAAACTAAGTTTCAAGTGTGAATAAACTGTTTAGAAAATCCGTGTGAGGAGTGACTGTATATCATGGTTTAACCACTGTAGTAAATAATTATTTAAGGAAAATAACAGTACAATGTAGTGCAAGCAGTCTGAATAGTCACTCTAAATAACTGTACATTCTCCAACATGAGTAACAGCACTCTATGACTAAGAGTGGTGCATGGGAGTAAATGGGCACAAGACAATATGTATGGACGGACATCAGGGAAGAGGGAAATATCGCTTTAAAGCTAGTGCTTCATGAAAAGCCAGAAGCAAACGTTTTCATACACATTTAATTGCTTAGAGATCACAAATATTATTTTACATAGGCAATTTTGTTATGTTGGTATTACTCTATATAACTGTTATCCATCCCTGCGGAAACATTGAAGAGTAGATTTACTCAAAAATCTTTTAATAGAAAATAAATGTAAAGATTTCTCCAAAGACTTACACTGTATGATATAGGCTGCTAACTGGATGGATTCATCGTGAGGACACAACAGTCGGCCATGGTGAAGGTCTCGACGTAATTGAAGAAACAAATAGTACCTATTTTAAAAAAGTCAATTAAACTCCCTGATATTTGTAAACTCTAGATAAGTTCAATAGTTGCTAGTGATTAAATGATTAATATATTATAGATGTTGAATAATTAAAAATATATATTAAAAATTACTTAGCAACATTTGAGCCAACTACATTACAAAAGACTTCATTTATGATATATAAATTCTACTAGTAGATCTATCTAAAACTAATACCTTAAAGGCAACCTTTTTTAAAAAAAAGTAAAAAAGAAATAGTACAGCTAAAATTGATTTCCAGTGCCAACCTTGTAATCTCTTCATGTAACTTCATTGGATCTTCAGGATAAAATTTGACACGAAAACATAGAACCATTTTGAGAAGTCCTGAAATAAAATGTTTAAAATCATTTGTTTAGATACCAGAAAAATGTCATGGTCGGTCATTTTACTCAGTAAATGTATTCAATTACAGTTGTAAATAATAAGAGGTAGGTAACTGGCTACAAGAGGTAGGTAACTGGCTATTGCTTGCAATTATACAATTTTTTCCCCTTGAACAATAAACCATGCATAAACACAAGTTAAAAATAACATTGCAACTCTAGGCAATAAATTGGTTTAGAGACAAGTTATCTCAACATCTTTGAACAATATAATAAGCTAATGGTTGCTGCATTACGATTTGCTTCAATGCAATCTGACACAACACCAAAGAATATTCTGGGATATGGTGCCCACCAAAGCGCTAAAAACAAGACTGGAAATAGAGCATCTCATTGAGAGGTTACACCAACTGACCAGGGACGTGGTGGTAGAAAAACCTAACAGGGGCATCATCTAGAACTTAGTGAATTAGTTGCGTTTGATTGGAATGTAGTTGTGCCAGGGGTCGCCTTAGAGCATTGGAAAACACATGTACTCTACAGTTATGAAGTAGGAAGGAAAATAATTTGGTGGTTTGGGGGGGGGGGGGGGGGTTCCCCCCGCCAAAAATGAGAAATTGTATTAAGGGGTTGCGGCATTAGGAAGATTGAGGACCACTGCCCTAAAATGATGCTGCATTAGCAGCATTATTGTCTTTTAAAGAAAAAGCTATCACTTAAAAATGCATTAAAAAAGATCCCTCAAGCATGTATTCCCAAACATGTCTCTTACAGATATATCAAAATCAGCCTATGACCAATCATAATTATATCACCTTTCATGCAATATTAGTCTAATTATAACTCTCAGCATTAATGTCAGAATACAACTTTTATTTGAAACAGCGATCCTTCATTATCATCATGAAATCAGTGATGTGATGAAAATAATATAGTAGAGCAAGAGCAGCAGAGTATAAAACCATGATAGATAATGAGATTACATTTATACTAAGACAACAATAAATTTTCAGTAAATATTGATGTTCTATATATTTAAAAACTCCAACATTTCACATTTTGTCCAATTAAAGCTAAATTAATGTTTTATGAATGGAAAATTACTAATGTGGTGGAATCAACCACAGCAAACAATTTAAGCTAATTTTTTTTAAGCGAAAAAAAATGCCAGAAGGTAAGCATTAAATTTACATGTTTAAATAAAAAAAAAAAAAAATTAAATTAACAAGAAATGATTAACTTGTGCAGTGACATTAAATATAACAAGAGTTGCCAGTCCAACAAGTCAAAGCCAGTCATGAATAGAGAAATTAGTCACTCTTAAAAATAATTTCATTCGTCAATCCATATGTGGGATGATTCATTTTTAACCGAGAATAAAGAATTTTAACTAGTAATTCAAAATGAGTAATCTCCACTTATCTTTGCTAAATTCATTAAACCATAATTCTAAAAAGGGTATACAAAGCAAAAAAGGAAAATATTTCCTCACCAAATCAAAAAAAATAAAAAATTATATTACTTTAAGACCAAAGAACATTATAGTTTTAAAGGATTTGAAAAAACTATATATAGTCTCTGATTTTCATGACTAAGATAAGAAATAAGCCCTACTATCTTTGCTCCAACTGGACTTAAGGCAGTTATTAAGTTTGAGTTTAATAAGGCAATATGGATCATAGAATAGTCTAAGTGGATAGTAAAAGTTAGGGTCTTGGTTCATTAGAGGAAGCCAAAAAAAGAAAGAAAAAAAAAAAAAAAAAAAGTCATAAATATTAACATTAACTGATTAAATTATCAGCTAGCCCATCTTCTAGAGTTCTATCCATTCATATAACTCATTTCGGCTTAAATAGAGAAGTTCTTTTTAGTCAATAAGTTCAATGAATCACCATTCATCTGACAGCTCACACTTATTGTGTGACATTTGCTGCATAGCTCTTAAAGGCATCTGTGCACACTATGGTAACAGCAGCTGGTATTAAGACAGATATTTCCCTATAGCTATGGTTTGATAAGTTTGTGTCAAAATCTGTCAATAGATTAATATATTTCATCCCTACAATATGCAATATTTTGTGTATCTGTTAGATACAGCTAGGTCTATACAATTCTTTTTATATTAATCCGTAAGAAAGAATTGTAGTAAAATAAATACATCACATAGTTCATAGAATATATTGACTAGATAGTTATTTATAGAAGAAAAAAAAAGAAACTAGGTAAAAATTAAATAGTGACAAAGCTAAATAGAAATCAAAACATTTAAGCTATTTATACCTTTAAGCTGCTTGTAAACAGGTTTTAAAGGATCAAGCCAGTGCTGAAAAAAAATTAAAACATAAATACAAAAAATACATAATATATTTATTTCTATCAAATCAATTTTTTTTGGGCAGAATTAAAAAAAATTTTTTTTATAGAAGATAACTTAAAAATAGAAAGAAAATTGAGCAACATACCCGTTGATTTTCTGCATCAACATATCGAAGTCCGAAATAGTCTTTTTCCACCAAGTTCAGTTTCTCACACACCCTATCAAATAACCATTGACCCAAAGTGTCTTTCTGTAACAAAACATACATAAAATTTGTACAGAAAACTAAAGGAAATGGTATTAACATAAGAAAGTTTGTAAAATAAAACCATTGCATGGAAAATATAAGACAAGACAAAAAAAAAAAAGGATATTAATAAATAAAAAAACATACATAAAATGTATAAAAAAAAATAAAGGAAATGGTATAAACATAAGAAAGTTTGTAAAATAAAACCATTGCATGGAAAAAATAAGACAAGAAAAAAAAAAAAAAAAAGGATCTTAATAATTGTCAGCACATAATACTGAGAAATAAAAATGACAAACATAAGGGATTGTAATTTTATTTTGATTCTTAAGTAGACTAGAGGTCAAGAAGTATATATACAAGAGAAACTTCTAATGCAACTTTTAGAGCAAACCCATTCAAGTTGACCATTGATGTGTACTAATTTTTGTATTCCTTAATTAGAACTAACTTTAGAAATAAATATTTCGCTAATAAATCATGATGATATTCATCTTGTTATACTTTTAATGCAATTTAGTGACTACATTACATCTACATTAGATGATAAAATTGATATTATATTTTCCATAATATATATAAGAGATGTCTAAAAGATTTTGATTATTAAGTAGAAAATATTGGTCAAGAAGTACATCTACAAGAGAAACTTCTGAAACAACTTTTACAGCTAATCCACTCCAGTAATATTTTAGGAAGAAATGAGAAAAAACCTAAATAAGGTTAAAGATAAAAGTGTAACAACGTAATTTACTCTAAATTAATAATCATTGCCCCCTCCTGATCTTTGATGTGTACTAATGTTTATATTCCTTATTTAGAGCTCACTTCAAAAATAAGTACTTCAATAATACATCATCATGATGCTCTAATGCAGGGGTGGGCAGACTAAGGCCTGCATCATGATGCTTGGCAACTGATATTATTCGGCCCACGAATGCATTTACAAATGCAAAACAATTACTTTGTTTTTAAGTTATTTTGTTGAATTTTACAGAACTTCATGTACCGTTGGTAATAATAATAACCGTTATAATTGTTTGAACATTATTTATCAACTTTCTAATTTTCTATTTTTTGTAATGTAAAGCTAAAATGCGAATTTACCGATTTTAATATAGAGAAATATTTATTGACAGATAAAAATTGGACATAATATACATGCGGCCCCCTAATAGCTTTACATTTGTCAATGTGGCCCTCCGAACAAAAATTTTGCCCACCCCTGCTCCTATGAAAGGTTTAAAAATGTCAAATTTTTATTATATTTTGCATAATCTATATCAGAGATGTCCAAGCATTAGAAATGTGGGTCACATCAACAATTTTATGAAGTACTGCAGGAAGGATACTATATATTAAAATATTAATTCAATGTGAAAAAAAAGCATTCAAACGGTGAACACTGTCAAAAGTGTCTGCTCTGTGCATTGCATATTTTCAGGGTACAATTCTGGCTATTTATGACAGGCCTGCACAACTCAAAATGCAGACCTGTTTACCCTCAAACTCTTAAAATCGTACAATTGTTCAATACATTATCTTAATAGTAAAAAGATTAACATACAGTATATATAATGTATACACCTCAAAATCGTACATTGTACGCCAAAATCGTAAGAGTGAACAGGTCTGAAAATGTAAGGTGGGCCGTAATACATTATGAAAAACTTGTGTGTGCCAAAAGAAAATAGGACAGGACTTTTTCAGGCCAAAAGAAAATAGGTCAGGGGAAAGCTATTAAGAAAATAATAAGAATAAAGAATATTTGGTTACTTCGCGGGCCGCAAAGTGGGTGCTGGCGGGCCACATTCACATGTTGTGCAGGTCTGATTTAAAATATGTGATGAACAATTTATCTTTAACAAATTTATTATGTTTAACAAAGAAATTAAAATAAATTTATGCAAGGTCTGTTAATTTAGATTTTATTTTAGCTGATTGCACTTTTTCTGACCAACTACAACTGTGAAATAATAGAAGACATCTAAGAAAATATCAGCTTTCAATTAAAAAAAAAAATTCCTACTATTGCAAATCCACAATTTAACACCCCCACACCCACAATATAACACAATTTATAAAAAAGACCAGTAAAAATGTCCTAAATAGAGACCTCAAAAATGGCTCCAGACAGATTTCCACTACAAAATAGTAAGAACCGGTACAATCTTTTTGCCGCCACTATACTTACCATCTTTTCAGTACAATCAATAGAAAACATAGCGAGACAAGAAATAGAATGATGCACAGAATTTAAATAATGATAATATTGATACGCATTGTGACTAATTGGCCTGAGATTCCAACTTAGGAATAGCTCCAGAAAACCATGCATTGCAAAGCCTGAAGTCGCCTCAACAAAAAAGATTTCTTTGGAAATTGCGATAGAATATTAATACTCCATTTTTAAATTTGATTTTTGTTTTGCATCATGTTAGTTCAATATATGTATAATGTCAGGCTAAAGAAAATGATTTGCTAACATTTTATTTTTCCTCTAACTTGCTATATAAAGTTGGGCTAACTATGTAGTGGTGACCACCCCAGAATGAATAGGTCTTAACTTATTGTCACTATACTTATACACTCTATACAATAACACCCATTAAAAATGATTTTTTAAAGGCTTTTACTTTTACAGATAGGCATTTTATCAAGTTCCTAGGAGGTCTTGCTGGCCAAATAAACGTTTCAGCGGGCCGCATGTGCCCCGCAGGACGTAGGTTTCCCACCACTGAACGAGCCTGATGATGATGCCTTGTTACCCAGAGTAAAAAGTAGTAGGTCTACAATTCAATAGGCATAGGAATATTAGTATAGGCATAGGTAATTTTTTAAAAAATCTGCTCTGAAACACTTCATTAAGCAGAGTGGGCTATAAGCTCATCTATACTCATCCCTTAACGAGCTCGCTCAATTGTTGGGCTCGCCCAGCATATGACTCAGACTCTGTTGTAGTACTCAAAATTTAATGACATTCTGACAACGTGTTTTTTTTATTTTTACCTTGAATGTCAGCTGGATGGTCTCGGTATCATCTAGAAAGCGTATATTACTTGTATACTCAGTTTGAGCGTCACTTTTGCTTCGTTTACGGAAAACAGACATTTTGGGGCAATCTGTTAATTCCAACTCAAAATAGAAATATCCCACTTATACGGTTCTGACGCCTTGGCTTTGGAAGACGGCATCCACCCGAATCACAGTTAACAAAGTGCTGCAAGATGGCGCTTTAAAGTCACGTGACACAAATACAAGCCTGACTTTAAATGATTATGAACTTCTCATGCAACAATATCTAAAGATTTTAGAGGTATATGCATAACCTAAATATATAGCATTTTTCTGATTTGCCTTGAAGGTTTAGAATAGCATAAATCATTTAAGGTATATTGATTAGAAATACCAGCGCTGACACATTCCGATGTGTAATGTAAACATGCGCATTAAATTTATGTTTTTGGGTCGGGGTCATAGGAGATAGTTCAAAGTTCTTGCATGAATGCATCGTTAAGTTGATAGTGGCTGAACTGCAAATTGTCAAAACTACCAAGTCTAACTCCAATTAAATCATTAGTCCAAGTCGTGGACTGCATGGAGAAATATACACCATGAAAATCATTATTGTCATGGGGGTCTGCGGTAGCGGAAAGTAAGTATTTCCTTATTTATTGTATTAATATTAAAAGTAAAAGCATTAGTCATTAGTGTAATTCCGAGTTGGCTGCCTTTACCGCGACGGTAAACTTAATAACCAAAAGTAAAAGGCTTAAAAACATGGACATAAATGTAGCTAATCCATGGACGTACGTTTGCCGCTGTAATATTTAACCTGGTTTTGAGATAACAGACGGTCTGATTCCTTTACATTTCATGGAATCGTGTGGTCTTAGTCTAGTGATATTGAATATGCTTTCCATGCTCATTAATTTAAGGCTGCTACTAAAGACTATTCGCATGCCTGGTATTGGTATCAGAAGTGAGAGGTTGTGATTAAAAAACTATTTAAAATTAAAATAATTTTTTTGGGTTTGTAAGACACAATGACAATGAGGTATCAAATGAAAGATAATTGAATGGACTATATGTTTGTAAACCTACTTCTTCAGTTTAATGAAAATAAACTACCACAAATGACATCCGAATGGGATTTAGTCTAAAGGGACCCAGGTCCGAACAGCGGCTATGCGTACCCGGGTCCCTTTAGACTTCCTTAATTTAATAGGATTTAACAGTACTAAGTACCGGTATATAGCATATAGGATTTCATTTCTAAGACGTCAAATATAATTAACTTCAACATTTTCCATTTTTTGTTTTGTTTTTCATCTTATAAAAGATATTTTAAAATTAGATTAATACATAAACATTAAATTGTTACACATGTAATTTAAGTGGTCAAAACAGATAAATATACTAATTTATTATTGTGAAGTAGTAGTACCATATTAAAAAAACATTACTCATTGTAAGGGTAAGAGACCGACTGAAAGGGATTTTCTGGTTTCTGCTGAAACCAAACCGAAAGTTAAAAATGATACTTGGTCAAAATTGAAACCAAAATCTTAACGATACTTTTGGCCGCAATTGAAAGATATATATATACCAGCACAACATTTAAAAACTTTGTCGTGAGACAATAATGCAATGTAATTTAAACTTACCAACAATACTTTAATAATTAGTAAGTAATCCATAATCCAAAAATGATAATTACGAACCTACACTTACAGTAAGAGTCATAAATGGCAGTTAGTTTAGCTTTAATTGGTTAGTTATTGAAGTCAATAAAACAAATGTTGTAGTTCTGAAACAATATTGTCTCCATATTATTTAACTTTACCTATGACAACATTTATCTTTGAGCATAATAACAGAAATTAATATGAATTTCATGAATGAATGAATTGAATAAACCTAGGGTTCCCAATGTATTTTTTTAAAAATAAATAAAAATAATAATAGAAATATTACTATTCCCTTAGTTTTTTTTCCAACAAAACTATTTAGCTTTGCCCAAGCATAATTGTAATTTTATTTTTGGAAATATTGGAAAAATAGGTCATCATACAGCCGAGAGCAGTGTAGATAGAGGATCATTCATACATCATACTACGACAGCAAACAGTGAGCAATAATGTGTTCACACATCACATATACATTTAATTTTTTTTCCAAATAAACTTTATATTATTATAATAATATACACTTCACATGTTTATTATTATATCTCTATCTGTGACTAAAGTTTTTTTTTTATTTCATCCTTTATAAAATTCCAAAATGTGATATGGTTACTAACTTCTTGAGAAATTTTATTTGCCCACTTAATTTCAGCATTACTATTGTCAATAAACTTTATGTCATCAACTGACACAAAAAAATAATCCCCCCCCCCCACACACACTCATTATAGTTAACTTTAAATTCCACTGGAGACTTAAGTTCCTCCTCAAACTCATAAATAGCCTATGCTCCCTTAATTCATTTTCACAGGCCAGCAGAAGAAGCGCCTAACTGCCTAACACATCAAAATCATTAATTGGTATTCGGGTGAAAAACACTATAATTAATCCACGTATTATCCCCAAACGAAATGTCACAATTGATACTGATTATCTCATCTATTCTACAAGTTGCTCTCTTGCCCCCATGTCCATGTATTTCATCTTTTGAGTCTCACTATCACTAACACCACTGTCTTATTATCAAAGTACTATGGGCAAGGCTGCGTTTAGGTTGAAGCAATATGAAATTTAATATAGCATACTTATCATAAGCCTACAGTGTGATTCAGGGTAGGTGTAAGTGTAACTCAGAAGAAAAACGGAACCAAACCGGGAACCAAACCGCGGAAGTTAAGCCTGGAAGCCTTCGATCGACAAGAAAAGAAACAGAGAATAAAAATAACAGCATTATTAATAATGGCTCAGAATAAAATAAGTATCAGAGACCACCTGCAGGAGATACAACGCAGCCGTTCGTGTGTCAGCTTTACCGACGCGGTAAACGTAGTTCGGCCAGATAAAAATCATATCAATCTACGTTGACTGCCGCGGTACATGGAGAACATTAACACAAAAGCTCCATCTTTCCCTGAGTTTTCTATAGGGTCGCCGGCAGTGGGGTAGAAAGGTGGTGTGGAGGGGGGCGGCACTTTGTTATCTATATTTTAGAGAGGTCATTTTCGGCCTGATGCAGAGTTTTTTTTTTTCATGGATGGGACAGAAAAAGCTTGGTCAACTCCATGAGACTCCAACCCTGAATACCTCACTGGTCGCTGGCTGAAACATAAAATAAAATAAAAATTATGATTTAAAATCAATGTCATTCTTAATCGGATTCTCCGTAAAGTTGAAAAATTTCATTACAAAGCATCTATTTCCGATGTATATTCTGTTATCCCAGAAGTATTCCTTAAAAAATAAAAATGGCTCATGGATCAAATAAAACAAGATAAAAAGAATACTTTAAAAAAACAGAAAAAAAAAAAAAAAAAAAAAAAAAAAAACCAAAGAATTACCAAAAAAGAAAAAAAAGAAAAAAAAAAAACAACCCACAAAACAAAAAAGAGAAAAAAAAAAAAAAAAAAAAAGAAAACAAAAAAAAAAAAAAACAAAAAAAAAAAAAAAAAAAAAAAAAAAAAAAAAAAAAAAAAAAAAAAAAAAAAAAAAAACCCAGTCATTTCCAAAAATGTAATAAAAAGCATAACATAAACGTCCCCCAAAACTTCAGAGGTGTTACAGTCTTGTGACTTAGAAAAACAAAGCGTGGGCGCCCATGGAACAGAATGATGTAATATGACTTGACTTAAACAATGTTTGACACGTTTATAGGTTTGCATTGCTGCAAGTAAGTGGAATGAAATTAGCGATACAGCTGCTCGAATGTCTTTCATCATCATCAATGGCGTTACAGCCCATGTCGGGCCCTGGCCTGCTTCACCATATCTTTCCATTCGGATCCATCCACAAACCCCCAACTGGTTTAAAACCCGTCTCTACATCGTCATCAGCTTGGGTGTTTCGTTACATTATCATATGCTTTGTCTTCGCTTCATTTATATCAAGACCAGCTTTGACTGGGGCATTTTATTTAATGTTTTAATTATATCATTTCCGTTTCTGCCCAGTAGCGTTATATCGTCTGCGTATGCCAGGTACTGCAATGGCTGGCTATATAAAGTTCCTGATGGTTGTTGTTCTGTAATACGTCTCTGTACCGTCCACCACTACTGCATGGCATCTGTTGCTGAGGAAGCTAGAGATCCATGTTTTAGACGTGCCTTGGATGGCATATCTCTGAAGTTTGTTTAAAAGTAAACTATAATTGGCTGTATAAAATGCCTGATGGTTGTTAATCTGTAATACCTCTCTAGAAGTAGCTTGTTATGGTTCCACTCCTGCTCACGTGTATGCTTCTAATATCTTTTTCTAGCGTGAGGTTAAACAGGATTCATGTCTGAGGCCCCGATTAACTGGGAACTCCATCGAGCATTCTCCTCGTACCTTGATTCTACTTTTGGAGTTAGCCATTGTTATATGTATGAGCCGAGTAAATTTGTTAGGGACTCCAAGTTCCTGTAGAGCAGGGGTCTCCAAACTTTTCAGCCCGAGGGCCGCATTAACTATCACACAGCAGTTCGGGGGCCGCATACACACTCGAGATCCAAATAAAGAAGAATCAAAACACGGATGTTGTTTCTAATTATGTACGTATTATTATTTCATTCAGTTATTGTTTAATAACACATTGATACACGACACATGAACACCGTATTTGTATTAGTATGAATGGTGAAATTGTTTCCTGGATGCCAAAATAGCAGTGATCAGCAGACATTTCTGGATTTTGATTTGATGTCCCTAACATCAACAGTTACCTGAGATGATTATCGGACAAATTTGCTCTCAAATTGTTCTTCACTTATTTCTTTCTTGAAAATGTTTGTTCACACAGGTATGTTGTTCCAAAGATTAAATGGTACATTGATGCAAATGTTTTGAAATTAGGAAAGTCTTCCTTGGGCGAACTAGTTAAAAAACCCAATGATCCTTCTTTTAACTTGTCCCTAATGAGGTCATTTGCTTGGTACTCAATGACCTCCGGGTGCAGTTCATCTGGGCGACTGGCCACATCTGCTTCAAATAGGTTTTGAAAAAGTCTCACTTCTTCTGCCTTTGAATCCAAGTCAGAAAACCGCTGCTGACACTGCAGCTGGAGGTCTTTGATGATCTCGCATATAAATGACGTGGGGAACTCCGCTATTGCTTCAGCCATGAAAACCTTGCACCGCTGAAAGTGTTTCAAGTTGTTAGCCTATATATTTGTTCCAAAAAACCAAGACGAATTTGGATCTGAAGGCCTTTAGAAAGGTGTATAGATCAGAAACTTGATTTTCCTCTCCTTGTAGTTTAAGGTTCAGAAAATTAAATGACTAGTTATGTCTGCAGCAAAGACCAATTTCCATACCCACTCTTCATCAGACACTAATGGCTGGGGCTTGCCTTAACTTTCCAGGTAGTCACATATTTCCTGTCGTAACTTAAATACTCTGCTCAGACCTTTCTCACAACTTAGCTATCTTATTGATGTGTTATATGGTAAACCTTGCGATTCTGTGTCGGTATCTTTCAACAGGTCTCTGAACTGTCTATGGTTGAGCCCATGTGACTTTATTAAATTCACCATCTTCAACACAGGATTCAGTACACTGCTAATGTCCACATATTTAGCACACAAAGCTTGCTGGTGAATAATACAATGCAGGAACATTGGTTATATAATTTTTTTCTCATTACACATCTGCTTCACTTGTCCAAACAAGCCTCTCTTTATGCCACTCATGTTCTTTCCTCCATCAACAGTCAGGCAACTGAGGTTAGTCCAGTCCAAGTTATAATCAGCAAATGTTTTTTTCAACTCATTGAATGTATCCTCTCCTGTAACAATGTCATACATGCTATGTAGGGAAGCCAGCTCTTGTGTTATTTTCATGTCTTCATCCACACCTCAAGCAGTTGAGAGGTGGAACAGCTGTCAAGCGATTCATCCATTTCAATTAAAAATTGGCGAAACTTGCTTGCATTTTTCGCTATTTGAGTCACAATGTTTTCACCCATGTCTGCAAAGCTCCGCAAATATATATGGCGTTATATTATCTCATTGACTGGGAACGGAAGTAGAAAAACTAAGCAGCGTCCTAAGTTTTGCCAAGTCATGATCGGTTAGAAAACATAACGCACTACTGCGCGCCTCTATTTTAATTCGGTAAAGACATAACGTCCACGTAAGCGGCCTCTGATCTTGGCAGAATACACGTAAATTTCCGTATTTTTTTTCGTAGACAAAAAGGTCTCCGCGGGCCGCATGAGATGGCCTCATGCGGCCCGCGGGCCGTAGTTTGGAGACCCCTGCTGTAGAGCATTGTATAGGAAATTCCTGTCTACGCCATCGTATGCTGTTTTGTAATCCACATATAGTTGGTGTATGTCGATGTTATATTCATAGCATTTCTCCAGGAGACATCTAATAGTAAAAATATGATCCGTGGTTGACCTATTTTGCCGGAATCCACATTGGTAATCTCTTAGGATCTGTTCACTATACCTTTCCACTTTTCTTACTATAATTTTTGTGAGGATTTTATATATTACATTAAGGAGGGAGATTCCTCTATAGTTTGAGCAGACCCATTTAGATCCTTTTTTGGGGAATTGGGGTGAGTGCAGTTTCTTCCTCCTGCCAGATTCTGGTTATGAGGTCGTGTATTTGCCTATATAGTTCGTTTCCACCTAGTTTATCAGTTCTGTAGAGATAAGATCTATTCCTGTGGCTTTGTTATCTTTCATGGTAAAGATCACATCTTTTATTTCATTCAGTGTTGGTTGGTTTACCAATGGGTCCGGTCCTTCTTGTGGTAGAGCGTAATCCAAATTAGTTTCCCCACCTGAGCCATTCATTAAGCCTTCAAAGTCTTGTGCCCATTTCTCTAAAACTACACTGTTTTCTGTGTTCAGTTCTCCACCTATACTTTCACACTTGTGGAATCTTGCTTGAAACTCGTTCTTTTCCTGTGTTCTCTTCAGGTACATTTCCCTCGCATCTCTTTATTTTGCCAACTCTTCTATCTCTACTATTTTTTATTTCTCCCAAACACGCTTTTTCTTTCTGCAAATTTTGGTAGCCAAACGTCTTGTTTCATTAAATAATTGTCGTGTTCTTCTCGTCTCTCTTTGCAGTATCATGAGCCGGGCCTTGTTTCATTCTTCTATAAGTTCTCTGCATTCTGCGTCACATCATCCTGTTCATTACACTACCAGTTTAAATCCTATTGTTTTCTCTGTTACACTTTTAACTTTTTGCTTCATCTTTTCCCATTGCTGTTGATATCAATGTTGCTGGCTGATTCCCTTTTGGATAATTCTAGTTGACCGAGTGGTGGCCGAGTTGTCTAAACTGAGCAAATCTCAAGTTGGTGGTCTGGAGTTCAATTCCAGCTAGAGCATAAACACCACCAGCACCCCGGGTAGATGGGACTCGTTAACCTTGGACGGCAACTCATCTAAGAGAAGGAAACTCTGAAATCAAACCCGGAGATGGAGTCCCGAAAGGCGGATAACATTGATACAATGAAACATTCCGACAACTCCTGCGACGTCACTGGTGCCAAGCTGTATCATCCAATGATGTTCCCTTGGGTTTCCCAGCGGCGTGGAGAGAGGCGATTTGCTGTTGGGAACCAGCTTATAATCCTTAAAGTATAATAATCCCAGGCTATGTGGATTTCGTCCTACGAGGCCCACTCCATCGTCACATTGTGACGTACGGATGCCAGCAGTTGACTTTCAATCTTCTTTTGATATTCCTCTGTAATTTTTGGGTCTCTGCTTAATTTCTGACTATTGCAATGTTTTTCTCTTTTATTTTGTTTATTTTGGATGTTACAAAGTCTTTGCTTGTATTTAGTGGGCAAGAGTAAAAAGTAGTAGATCATTTGGAGATCAGGGAGTGTGTCAAAACTGAAATTCAATTTTTGACCCGAAGAGGTCGCGCAAGGTTCAGTGCAGGTCATCTTTTTCCTACTGATCATGATGGGTTGTATTGTCTTGGGGGGGGGGGTGTAAGCTTCAGATCAATTGGACAAATGTAACTGGGTCAGCCAAAAACCCACTTGTCTCCCCCGACCCTTGTACCAGAATATTCGTAGGGCCCTATCGCATTCCCGATCTGCCCGCCGATGTCAAGACCTGGCCGTAGGCTTTTGAACTATGTCAGTTTTATAGACTAAGATAAAACTGGTTTCCATAGCCGAGGCAGCTCGAACTTTTACGCAAGTTTCCATTTGGGCTGGACCTAACCCTAATGGAACCGTGTGGACCAATAATAGAGATATAACCCGCAGAGGCCACTAAGTTGGAGCGATATCTTGCACAGGATTTTTAAATGAAATAACTGGAGCGATATCTTGCACAGGTTGCTTAATGAAACAATTAGAGCGACATCTTGCACAAGTTGCTTGATGAAACAATTGGAGCGATATCTTGCATAGTTTGCTTGATGTAACATTGTCTCTTGCCAAGCATAATGTGTGTGTGTGGGCCGTTTGCTTAACTTGTGGTCAATGTTCTTTTTCTGAAAATGCCCCTTGTGTAACACAGAATATGCTGCTTTCACTTATTTATGGAATGTTTTAAATAACAAATGTAGTGACAGTGAAGTAGGAAAGGGTTGCGTGGAATTTTTTTTATTTTTTTTTTGGGGGGGTGGGGGTCCGTCCCAGACGGCACATTTTTCTTTATATGCAGGTTCGACATTTTCGGCCAACTGCAGAATTTTATTCTTGAAAGGGTTTATTCTTGCACGGCAAAACTCTCGTCTCGCCCCGGGCCACACTAACTCTATCTACGCGACTGGTAAGGGAAACGTCTATAATAAAACAAAGCGCTGATGTAATCATCATGCTGCAGTTGCATGAGTTTGATCATTTTGTGGTGGCGATGGAGGCAATTTGTCTCGCTTGTGAAAACGTCAACACAAGAGATACACCCAGGGACGTGAGATTTGTTTTACTTATTTATTTTTTAATTTTATTTTTGAAGAGGGGCGTGGGGAGGCTAACGGAAATTAAATACCGTACTGGAAAAACCTTAAAAATATTATTTTTACCGTAGAAACCATTCATCTCTTTTACATATTCTACGTTTCGAAGATACTGTTCAATACGGCTAATCTCCAGAGAAATTTAGTTGTGTGTAAGTTCCAGTGCAGAGCAGGGTGCGTAGAAACATGGATATTGTGACCAGAACTATTGATTTTGAGATAACTTGGCATCTCATCAAGTGGAATGCTTTTGTTTGCTTTCTAAGATTTTAATACGTTTGTTCACAGTTTTTAAAACTATACATTTAAAGTTCATCGGAATTACAACTTTGTCGTCATATTAGGACTGCCGCCTCATTTGTATTGCCACGTTATTTGCATTGTCCCATCATTTTTTATTGCTCTCTAATTTGCACAACGCTCTAATTTTTACTGCTCTTTCATTTGTATTGTCCCCTTATTTGTATTGTCCCCTCATTTGTATTGTCCTAAATGCCTGCTCACTTCTCTTTTTATGTCCTTGACATGATATATCTTAATGTTTTGGGATCACGATCAATATTAAAATCATAAACGTAGCTTGTTTTTACTTTCCAGAACAAGTGTCGCCCAAGAGCTGTCCCGAAAGGTAAGCGCTATCCGACGCATTACAGTAACATCTGTCACAAGATCTCTGTGCCCTCTGATGTCACCCTTTACAGTCACTAGAATAGTTCGAACATCACACAGGGCCACGAACCCAAATAAAACGAGGTGCCCAGATCTAAAGGAACAATTCTTCGGTTACATGTCTTTAAAACTCAAGTAGAATTGATTCATATTATGATCTATACTATATAAAATCGACAGTGTGATTAAAGTGATGTTTTAACTAAACTTTAGACAATAGTTCTCTGCAATAATTTAATCATATTATGGGACAATACATGCCTAGAAATGGAAACGACTCATAGTTATTCTTCTTCTCCTTCTTCTATATGTTAAGGGCCCACGATCAATGTATTGATCATTTTGGCTCCTATGCATGTAGATGGAATTTGCAATGTTTCTGTCCCTGGTGTTGATGAAGAAATCTCACAGACTTCCAGTGCCACTTTGTGAGGGAATCATGCACTAGGGGTTTGAAGGCTTGAGGCAATAGACACAAATGTGTCTAGTGTTGTCGCCTCAAGCGTTCCTTTTGAAATATTGTTCCAGTCCCTGATTGTCTTGGACAGGAATGAGCAGCTCCTATACTGGCTTCTTGCTGGTATGAGCCTGAATTGCCTGTCATGGCCTCGTGGCTGTCTATGGGGGAGAGGGACGAGTTTCTGTTTAATACTGGAACAGTGGACCAGCCCATTATTTATCTTGTACATCATGGAGAGCCTGGATTGTCGTCGTCGTTTCTCCAATGGTGACCAGCCTAGTGTTTCCAGCATGCTGCCAACACTAGAGGTATTCCTGTAGCGGTTTAGGACAAAGCGTGCTGCTCGTCGCTGGACCGCCTCCAACATGTCAATGCTCTTCTGGGTAAATGGGTCCCAGACTGAAGATGCATAATCTAAAATCGGGCGGACAAAGGCTTTATATGCTCTTTCTTTCACACAGGAGTTGCCAATCTTTAGATTTCGCCTTAAAAACCCTAGGGTCTTGTTTGTTTGGTTACATACACTGTTAATATGCTCGTCCCAGCGGACCTCTCTTTGAATGGTAACACCCAGGTACTTTACGGACGAAACTTGTTCAAGTATATGGCCGTGCAGTTCGTATTGGTAGTGTAGAGGAGTACAACTTCTAGAGACTGATAGTGTCTGGCACTTGGGAGGGTGAAATTCCATGTCCCAGCTCATCTCTCACTCAGCTAACCTAGTTTCCCCCTGGAGTACTGGATGCAACATATTCTTATATCCGCCTGTACGTCTGACACTCTTTATGGTTACACTCTTGTCACGTCTGTGGTCAAATGGTAAGACACTCTCCCTGGTCACACCCTTGTCACGCCTGTGGTCAAATGGTCTGACACTCTCTCTGGTCACACAGTTGTCACGTCTGTGGTCAAATGGTCTGACACACTCTCTGGTCACACCCTTGTCACGCCTGTGGTCAAATGGTCTAACACTCTCTCTGGTCACACCCTAGTCACGCCTGTGGTCAAATGATCTGATACACTCTCTGGTCACACCCTTGTCACGCCTGTGGTCAAATGGTCTGATACTCTCTTGTCACACACTAGTCACGCCTGTGGTCAAATGGTCTGATACTCTCTTGTCACACCCTTGTCACGACTGTGGTCAAATGGTCTGACACTCTCTGGTCACACCCTAGTCACGCCTGTGGTCAAATGGTCTGACACTCTTCCTGGTCACACCCTTGTCACGACTGTGGTCAAATGTTCTGACACTCTTCCTGGTCACACCCTTGTCACGACTGTGGTAAAATGGTCTGACACTCTTCCTGGTCACACCCTTGTCACGACTGTGGTCAAATGGTCTGACACTCTCTGGTCACACCCTAGTCACGCCTGTGGTCAAATGGTCTGACACTCTTCCTGGTCACACCCTTGTCACGCCTGTGCTCAAATGGTCTGACACTCTCTGGTCACACCCTCGTCACGCCTGGGGTCACATGGTCTGACACTCTTCCTGGTCTTACCCTTGTCACGCCAATGGTCTGACACTCTCTGGTCACACCCTAGTCACGCCTGTGGTCAAATGGTCTGACACTCTTCCTGGTCACACCCTTGTCACGCCTGTGCTCAAATGGTCTGACACTCTCTGGTCACACCCTTGTCACGCCTGGGGTCAAATGGTCTGACACTCTTCCTGGTCGTACCCTTGTCACGCCGGGGGTCAAATGGTCTGAAGCTCTCTCTGGTCACACCCTTGTCACGCCTGGGGTCAAATGGTCTGACACTCTTCCTGGTCGTACCCTTGTCACGCCGGGGGTCAAATGGTCTGAAGCTCTCTCTGGTCACACCCTTGTCACTCCTGGGGTCAAATGATCTGACACTCTCTGGTCACACCCTTGTCACGCCTGTGGCCAAATGGTCTGATAATCTATGGTCACACTCTTGTCAGTCTGTGGTCAAATTTTCTGATACTCTCTGGTCACACCCTTGTCACGCCTGTGGTCAAATGGTCTGAAAATCTCTCTGGTCTCACCCTTGTCTCGCCTGTAGTCAAATGGTCTGACTCTCTCTCTCTCTCTCTCTGGTCTCACCCTTGTCTCGCCTGTAGTCAAATGGTGTCACACTCTCTTGTCACACCCTAGTCACACCTGTGGTAAAATGGTCTGGGACTCTCTGGTCACACTCTTGTCACGTCTGTGGTCAAATGGTCTAACACTCTCTCTGGTCACACCCTTGTCACTCCTGTGGTCAAATGGTCTGACACTCTCTGGTCTCACCCTTGTCACGCATGTGGTCAAATGGTCTAACACTCTCTCTGGTCACACCCTTGTCACTCCTGTGGTCAAATGGTCTCACACTCTCTTGTCACACCCTAGTCACACCTGTGGTAAAATGGTCTGGGACTCTCTGGTCACACCCTTGTCACGCCTGTGGTCAAATGGTATGACACTCTCTCTGGTCACACCCTTGTCACGCCTGTGGTCAAACGGTCTGACACTCTCTGGACACACTCTTGTCACGTCTGTGGTGAAATGGTATGACACTCTCTCTGGTCTCACCCTTGTCACGCCTGTGGTCAAAGGGTCTGACACTCTTCCTGGTCGTACCCTTGTCACGCCTGGGGTCAAATGGTCTGACACTCTTCCTGGTCACACCCTTGTCACGCCTGGGATCAAATGGTCTGACACTCTTCCTGGTCACACCCTTGTCACGCCTGGGGTCAAATGGTCTGACACTCTTCCTGGTCACACCCTTGTCACGCCTGTGGTCAAATGGTCTGACACTCTTCCTGGTCGTACCCTTGTCACGCCTGGGGTCAAATGGTCTGACACTCTCTGGTCGCATCCTTGTCACGCCCGTGTGCTAATGGTCTAAGACTCTCTCTACTCACACGCTTGTCACGCCTGTGGTCAAATGGTCTGACACTCTCCCTAGTCACACCCTTGTCACGCCTGTGGTCAAATGGTCTGACACTCTCCCTGGTCACACCCTTGTCACGCCTGTGGTCAAATGGTCTGACACTCTCCCTGGTCACACCCTTGTTACGCCTGTGGTCAAATGGTCTGACACTCTTCCTGGTCACACCCTTGTCACGCCTGTGGTAGTCACGCCTGTGGTCAAATGGTCTGACACTCTTCCTGGTCGTACCCTTGTCACGCCTGGGGTCAAATGGTCTGACACTCTCTGGTCGTATCCTTGTCACGCCTGGGGTCAAATGGTCTAACACTCTCTCTAATCACACGCTTGTCACGCCTGTGGTCAAATGGTCTGACACTCTCCCTAGTCACACCCTTGACACGCCTGTGGTCAAATGGTCTGACACTCTCCCTAGTCACACCCTTGACACGCCTGTGGTCAAATGGTCTGACACTCTCCCTGGTCACACCCTTGACACGCCTGTGGTCAAATGGTCTGACACTCTCCCTAGTCACACCCTTGTTACGCCTGTGGTCAAATGGTCTGACACTCTCCCTAGTCACACCCTTGTTACGCCTGTGGTCAAATGGTCTGACACTCTCCCTGGTCACACCCTTGTTACGCCTGTGGTCAAATGGTCTGACACTCTCCCTGGTCACACCCTTGTTACGCCTGTGGTCAAATGGTCTGACACTCTTCCTGGTCACACCCTTGTCACGCCTGTGGTCAAATAGTGCTAAATCTTCGATCGGAAGCGACATGCCGCCGTGATGGTTTATGGTTTTTCCTGACGCCCGGTGTCGCATGACTTTGTATTCCGATTATAAGGGGCCCTACACCAGACAGTAGTGTTTATGGTTTGGTCACAAAGAAGAGTTCGGATGAGGATTGCTTTACATTTGATCTTAATTTGTTCAAAAAATTTCAGTCTTATAAATTAAGTCTGATTTTTACTAAGATGAATCTATATTCCCCCTCAACAGCTTCACTATAGCTTTAGAGACGCGGACGAGTTTCACAGCGAATACAACAAGCAGAAGATGTCTAAGGGTATCCCACTGACAGATGAGGTACTGTAGAGTTTTGATGTCTTGCGATTAGAGAACAAATGTACTTGAATGTATGAATTTATTAGTCTTAACATCAATCAGTAACCAAACCTATACCTACGATGATGTGGCTGCAGGCTCAGCAAACTTCTGTTGGTTGAGAGCAAAAACAGCCAATATAGTCTGCTTCCATGCAGGGCAAAATGTTCCAAAACTTTACTTTAGCGCGACGCGCTACAAACGCTATCCGATTGAATCGTGTTTTTTGCGAGGTTTGAAGGTGTTTCCTTTACTATAATGTAGTGATGTTATTATTTTTTCTGATTTCAGGACAGACTTCCTTGGTTATTAGCGATGCATTCGTACCTTACAAGGTAAAGTTACAAGATACACTAGTCTGAGATAGGGCGGAAAGAGGAGGTTGATTGAGTTATATACAGATGTTGGATCAAGATAAGAGGACACGATGAAATTATACCTACACACGCTGGCGGGACACTGAAGTTGTCATGGTAGAATTATACATACACACGCTGCTGGCGGGACACTGAATTTGTCATGGTACATTTATATCTACACAATACACAGTGGTCGAAACATAGAAAACGTCATGGTAGAATTATACCTACACACATTGGTGGAAACAAAGAAGATGTCATGATCGAATCATACCTAAACACAGTGATGGAAACACAGAAGATGTCATGGTAGAATCATACCTACACACAATGATTGAAACATATTAGATGTCATGGTAGAATCATACCTACACACAATGATTGAAACATATTAGATGTCATGGTAGAATCATACCTACGCACAATGACTGAAACACATAAGATGTCATGGTAGAATCATACCTACACACAGTGTTGGAAACACAGAAGATGTCATGGTAGAATCATACCTACACACTGTGTTGGAAACACAGACCATGTCATGGTAGAATCATACCTACACACAATGATTGAAAGACATAAGATTTCATGGTAGAATCATACCTACACACAGTGATGGAAACACAGAAGATGTCATGGTAGAATCATACCTACACACAGTGATTGAAACACATAAGATGTCATGGTAGAATCATACTACCACACAGTGTTGGAAACACAGACGATGTCATGATGGAATCATACCTACACACAATCATTGAAACACATAAGATGTCATTAGTCCTGATAATCCCATGATCGGCCATAATATCAGGCTCCAGTCACCCCAAAAAACCGTGTGTCAAAACTTCAATGTTTGCCTACACCTGTGTCATTAACTAGACTTCCTTATTCAATTTATACACTAAATTTAGTACTGAAAGATATAAAAAATTATTTTGTTCCCCAGTCTGTACGAATTTACCAGCATTCTCCACCAGCAATTGCCAAATCTAAATGATCACTAACTAAGTCATTATTGTCACTAAAGGAGTTCATTTATGGCTGATTGCTACGCTAGAGACATATTTTAGGTGTCTTGTGTTTGAGTTGTTATAATTGTAAAATGTTGTCTTGGTTACAAAATTGTATTTATGTGTTGAAAATGAGTATGTACAATTTCATCAAAAACATATCCATTTATTTGGATCAATAAAGAATCTTATCATATTTTATCTTATCTTATCAATCACACAATTTCAAGCAGACATGGAACAGCTTTGGCGATGTAGAGCACTGGGGAAATCTAGCACCAATTTCCCTGTATTTCAATCACATTTAAAAAACATGTCTTAAAAAAATAATAAAAATAAAATCAAAACATTCAAAAAGATATCTCATTTTCTTTAAGTACTGTATTCTAGTTTTTAATTAATTAAAATTTTTTAAAAAATGTTTGTCAAAAATGTAATCTATTAAATTTTATTTTCCTCTTCAGTTTATTAACTAGTCAAACATCTGGCATCGTAACCTGCTCGGCTCTGAAAAAGCGCTACCGATCTATTTTGGTATCAGGGGACTCAACTCAGGAAGTTCCTATGTCTGACGAGACGATCACGTTCGTGTATCTGAAGGGCAATTTTGAGACACTGCTCAGCAGGCTAGTCCAGCGAAGTGGTCACTTCATGCCTCCCACTTTACTACAGTCGCAGCTTGATGCACTGGAAGAACCAGATGACACCGAAAATCATATCACGGTCAGCGTTGACCAGACGGTGGCCGACATAGTGCAGTACATTATTGGCCAGCTGAGCGTGTGAGTCATGATACCGACAATGCATGACTTGAATCGCAATGTAGCAACATGAGAGATTTGGTAACAGCTGAAAAATCAGAGTCTCTTATGTGAACCTTGTTCACTTGAGCACATCGTGTAATTTTCAGACACATGTGTTCACATTGCTATGTGTGTATTGGTGTTGCTATGTGGGTATTGGTGCAACATATAAAATTAAAATGCAATGAGCCCTTATGTTTTAAATATGCCTACAGTGTGAATTGTTCAGACTATAATTTAAAATCTTTATCATAATTCGATATCAAGTAGCATTCAAATTTAATTTGAAATTAAATAATACATTTAAATTCTCTATGTTATAATGTTATATGTACAATGGCATACGAGGCCGATGCTGAACTGGCAGTCCCGGCTTACCTTCTCGTAGGGGAACTTTGACTTCTGGTTAACAATGACCTCGCTTAAGGCTCTTTTGTTGGAAGGGCTTCGTTTCTCATATCTTCTGCCTGTTAAGCTCCCTCATTACACTGCTGTTGCCAGCTGAAACAGTGGGCAGCGATATCTCCCATTCATTGATTTCTATGTTGGCTACCTTCATGTTCCTTACGCACACGTCTTTAAAGTGCAGCCATGGCCGTCCAGTGAGTTTGGCCCCCTCCTCTGCCAACTCTCCGTAAAGCCGATTCTTTGAAATACGTCCTTCCTCCATTCTCCTTACATCGCTTAACCAGCGAAGGCGCCTCTTACTAAGAGAGGAGAACACGATACACATTTTGGCACGATCCAAAACCTCTGTGCATTGTTAGTCATTTCGTCCTGCCATCAAATTCTCAAAATGCGACGGAGGCAGATATCTTTGGTGGCAGCTATTGAGCTTACACTCATGTATGTCATATGTGGTCAACACTTCACTTCGGTATAGGTGCGTAGTGGGCACAACTACCTGCCGCTTTTGCGATCCTGATGTTCGCCACTTCGTCAACGAATAGTAAGCTAATAGAGATAGTGTACCCAGAGTATGTCGAGTTCCTTGTCAATAAACAGTCTTTATAGCCTCATCAATCTATCGATGTCTAAGCCAGGACACTTGGTTCCTACGTTCCGTGTTGCGAAACGAAGTGAGGAAAGTTTGCCTTCTATTTACATTCCTTGCCTTGCAAGTAACGTCTGCCCCTCGCCAAGTGTCGTCACCAGTGCGGCCACCCAGCCTGGACGGTGTTTTATGGAGACCAGCAGATCCCCGCTCTTTACGCGGCCAGTGGATGCAAGGAAATGACAAATGCCACTACAACTTCGCACTGTGTCGCACGAGTTACTGAAAGGACTAATGTCAATACAACTTGGCATCGTGTTGCAGGAGTTTCCGAACTGACAAATGTCAATACAACTTGGCACTAACTGTGTCGCAGGAGTTGCCGAAATGATGTTGATTACAACATCAGATCGACTTCCATTATATACGGGTTGAAAATATACTGATTTGTTCTTATTGCAATTATTCTAATTACTATTAATATACTCTAAAGCTTTCCGTTTTTACGTCATTTGTTCTAATGTCATTTATTAAAATGCGGAATATTCTTCTGTTGACATTTCTAATATTAGCTGTTTTATTTGTAAGAATTAACGTCAGCCATAAGAAATATTAAAGCAATTAGAAAAAGTAAAGGCACTATGCTTAATATTAATTTTAATTTCTTATGGCTGAAGTTAATATTATTGCATTGATGGGGAAGTGTATCGATAGTAAAACACGATGTAAACACATTTTGCTGAGAGTTGTGAATATTTGTCGTCATAAACCGACTCACTTTGATAGATATTTCCAGCTTAGACTGATTTTAAATGTAAATTGTGATTTTGATAAATTGTGGACTGAAAGGAGATTATTTCTTTATAAATAATGTTGTCTGATGTGATTACAAGAGCAAAAGCTGTTAATATTGACAGAAAAAAGAAATTCAAAGCAAATTTGTTATTGTTAAATGCCGACAATTTCAAAAATCGTTGGAGGATTTTGGCATGTCTTAAAAATCGAGTATTTTTGTATTAAAATAACAGTAGGAGCAGAGGCGTAGCGATGGTGGCAGGGGGGGGGACAGACGTCCCCGGGCGCCAGCTAGTTAGGGGCGCCAAAATGTGCTTTGATATTATATCATTGGTAAAAATAATGGGTTTAAATTGATCTTGTCCCCGGGCGCGAATCTTGTCCCTTTGCTACGCCTCTGAGTAGGAGATGACTATATCGAGTATTTTAGAAATATGTGATAGATTACATCCTGATGTTTTTCCTCTTACTTTGGAATATATAAGTATGTTATTCATAGAACTATGTTGCCTTAGCCAAGAAAACTTTTAGTAGTTAAAGTGCCTTTTCCCCCATTGCATGATTTTTTAAAATTATATTTTTTATGACTCGTCAGGGCATTAATTAATATTCTGAACTAATTATTTTTAAAGATACCAACTTGTAATGGCACCTCATTAGTTCATCCCATACATTTTAATATCCTTATTACTCGATTACCTCGCCTGCAACCCCGTAAAAAACATTTTAATGAATTAATTATTTTAATTTCGATTATTACTTTGAGAAGCACATGGTCACACCTTTCATTCATTTAAATGAGATATTGTTTGTTGTTTTAAAAAAAAAAAAAAAAAAATGGAAGTAAATAATAATTTATATTTTTTAATATTAAAAAAAAAATCTTAAAAACCAACTATTGTTAAGGGAGATAAATCGTATTTCTTAGCCTCCATATATTACCGCGGTAATATCTCCTGAATCCTTCGTAAAGAATTGAGATTTACAAAAAACCCAACGAAACTGATTATGCTTTAATATGTGTAGTATAGATGTTCAAATAATGAAGTCATTGATCAATTCCATCTTTAATTATGACACATGTGCTTGACCAACTCATCGTAAAGCAGATCACTTATAAAAACGAACATATTTTCCAAAACCAAAGAAAAACAACATATTTTTTATTTTAAAAATAAGAGTTTTTTTTTCTTCCAATGTATAAAGAAGTAGTTTGCAACTTTCTTTTTTTCGGTAGAAAACTACATTATTTTATCACTATGACATATCGTTCCTTTCCCCTAATTTGTAACATTTAGGAGCAAAGCTTTTTATCAATGTATTATCAGCATGTTATCTATTGGTTGTGATTGTAGCTGTAAATAATATTTGTTTTTGTTTTTTATCATTACAAAGGTCTCAAATTCCCAGTCTCACTATTCTCCAAACTTCACCACCCACTGATTAATAGCCCCTGACTGTGGGATATCGTGAGTGACCCCCTCTGCCCTTAACCGTAAAACAGACCCCCCCCCCCCCCCCCCCCACCCCCAATCTTAACCTTATCAACTCTAGCCGCTGAAACATGTGCATATTACAGATTTGCTGTCAAAGGCTTGATTGAGTCATCTCTTGTGATCGATAGCTTAGGAGCGTCTTACAAGGAAGGTGCACACCAGTTAAGAAGTGTCGGAGCTGAGCAATTACAAGCTTTAAGCCGCGCCGTACAGACGCACTCGAAGCTGTTGGTTGAACAGAGAACATTGATCTCAGAGGGTAGTCAATACAGTTACGACCACATTGAGCATGGGTCCTCAAACTACGACCCGCGGGCTAGATCCGGCCCACAAGGGGTCCTTAATCCGGCCCGACAGGCCGCCGTAAGGGTGCCCAGTTAACAGCCACAAATATGAAACCAGACATTTCCCGTTGAAATACTACAAAAGTTACGTTATATACATTTTTTTTTCATTTTAAATATATATTTTTTTTTCTTCTAGTTATTATTTTTTTCCCCCACAACAAATGAAATACGTGTATAATGCTTAGAATTCGTTCATATTTCATCAAACTATCGTCCGTCCCCCGAAAGTGTCTGAAGGGCACTGATCACAATTGAGAACACTGATACGGCCCCTTATTTAAAAAAAAAAAAGTCCCCTGACACAGAGCGATCAATCTCAGTTGGCTTAGATCAGAGGTCGTTAAACTTGTGTTGTAAAGTGCACAAAGTAAACGATCCTGTGAGCAAAGCGGGAAAACTCTTTAAGGTTAAAGTACTGAGCTGGTGATAAATGATGTCCTCACTTGAATCAGGGCCTGGAAATGGGAGCCTGTGCTCTATTCTGGTCTATGTGATTAATTTAGAATTTATAGTCTGTCCCGATGTCCATTTAAACGGCGTCACAGCAGAGGTCACCCAGTAGTGAGCGAATGAAAAGGTAGGAGATGGAACACACCGGCTATGTTTACAGAGATGTTTTCAATTGTTTGGGTGAGATATCGGTAGCAAGACATGTAGTTGGGTTAGACATTGATAGCAATACATTTGGTTGGGTGAGATATCGGTAGCAATATATTTGATTGGGTGAGATATCTGTAGCAATACATTATTTGGATTCGATGTCGGTAGCAATATTATTAGCAATATATTTGGTTGGGTGATATATCGGTAGCAATGCATTTAGTTGGGTTAGATATCGGTAGCAATATATTTGTTTTGAGTGAGATATCGGTAGCAACCGGCACACGATATATAATGAGCCATTACACCACTGTGTCATCATGTACCACTCGTTGATTTTTTTTTTTTTTTTCAATCTTTCTGTTTCTTTAGTGTTTATGAGAATCGATGAAAATTAAAATTCCTATCACAGAAATGATGTTTTGAAATTCATAGCTGAATGGGACTTCTAGTGTTTATGAGAATCGATTAAAATTAAAATTCCTAGCACAGAGATTCCAAAAAATGTGAGCCAGGGTGCCAAAGGGGGCTGCGGTTTCCTCCCATGGGCGCCGCCACTTGAATTGGTTTTCATAATATCAAAATATGCAAAATCTAGCGGAATTTGTACAAACCAGTAAGCCGCATAGAAATAACTGTTGGAAGAAAACTTTGCAGACGACCGCTAGGTGGTGCTGGATAATAATAATACAAGTTACATTTATTATAAACTGAAAGTCTCTCCAAATTTACTTGTTGCTTTCTATAAATAGCTGTCGGTCTCGCGAGACATGAGTGTTGAAATAGTTTTCCGAGATTGTATTTTTATGTGTGATTAAGTCAAAGAAGTTTTTTAAGTAGATTCAAAATGGATTTTTTTTTTCTATGAGCGAAATTTTCGGATAATTTCTTTTCTTCCCCCCCCCCCCCCCTGCAGTAGAGGTGATACAAATCTTGGCCTGTCCTGTATGGCACTGACCCTAGGTACGCCATTGGGTAGTTTATATAATATATACATATATATATATACACATTTATTATCTTTGGATAAGATAAAATAATTGTGCCTTACACGTTTTTCAGGCACAAATAGGACTAACAATGAGCCACCTGCATACCCGTCCCCGAATAATGGCCTCTGTCATTTTCACATGCGAAAGGACAAACAACAGAAACACGCACGTATTCATGCACACACATATGCACACACACACACACACATATGCACACACACACACACATATGCACACACACATGCATACACACATATATGCACACACACATATACATGCACACACACACACATGCACAAACAGATGCACACATGCACACACACACATGTACACACACATATGCACACACACATATGCACACACACATGCACACATGCACACACACACATGCACAAACAGATGCACACACACATGCACATACACATGTACATGGAGTACAACTCGTTTCTAAGACTTTAAGAACTAAATCTATAACCTCACTATCGGAATAGAAAAAAATATTTGGATTGAAATAGAGATAAAGGACATAATGATATACGCAATACCAACGTGTCATGTACAGTGTGCCTGCTGGTAACACGTGGCATTGTCTACAATCTGCTGTGGCAGTGTTGTCTAGGCCAATGGTTCTCAATCTGTCGACCGTGATTTCTTTCCGGCGGCTCTCCGGAAAGAGTTTTAAGTTGATCACCGATGCTGTTATAAAAATATAAAAAAATACATTTTTAAAAAGTAAGTTATAAGAATTATACACTTTCCCATCAGAAATGTAAAATATAGCAAACGATTTATTCAAATGATTTAATGTGTTTACGGGGAGCTTAGTGGGACTGAACTTGTGAAAATGACTCGGTAATTGTGAGGGGTTCGTTGCATCCGGGTGTGCTATACTTGCCTTGGCCCGGGCGTTGACAACACAATCTAACAGTTCCTACACGGAATCTAGTAAATGTTCACTCTGTCAGAGAATAAAGTGTAATGTCCACCCTGTCAGGAAATCAAGTGATGGTCTTCCCATATTTAGGAAACAATTGGTGGTCCGCTCCTGTCAGGGAATAACATGGTGATCATCCCCTGTCAGGGAATAAAATGGCGGTTAATCCCTGCCAGTTAAAAGAATGGAGGCCCATCACCAAAGCACATAAACTCCTTGAGCCCAAAAGGATTTTTGTTTCGTTCGTGTTTTTGTGCTCTTTGACATCGTTTAGATGCAACTACAAATTAAATACCGCAGCGTAATAGAGGATTGGTCAGCAGAGTATGAGAACGATGTTGTACATGGCTCGTCAATTGTTCTTAGAAAGAACACGGTTAATGCGCTTGGATCGTACTGGGCAGTGATGGTCACAACGAACAAGTGTGCTTCGTCATTAGATCCACTAAACAAGATGGTTCAGTT